TCCCTGACTCCACAGTGGGACCAGAAGTCAATACCTGGGTCCAAATGTGGTTCCCCCCACAGGCAGGTGAGCTCTCAGAAACCCTGAGCTTGTAGAACTGGAGGGCATTCTGATGGTCAAGAGCAAGGCACACAGCGCAGCCAGGACAGAGCTCTGTGTTTAAGCCCTGTCTGCATCAGCGTCAAGATAGGCGTGGGTGGGAACTGCAGCTTGAGATTTCAGATCCTTCTCTGGGAAGGACGCCTCTGGGGGCGGGAAGCAAGGAGGTGTTGAGTGATCATCATAATTTCACAAGCTCGTAGACTGGCTACTGAGAGGGGTTGGGGAACTAGTCAACACATCATCTCCATCTCCCAAAGAGGAGCCTGGCCCAGAGAGGTGATGGACATAGTGTCCCACAGAGCCACTGGGGCGAGGGCTGGGAATCCATACTCCTCAGACCTGCACCTTTTTACTTTTTGCTTTATCTATCAAGTCCCAGTGCCATCCTTAGCCTATTTCCTCCTCATGGCAACCCTGTGTTTTCTGTGAGATAGGCATGGTATCCCTGAATGCTGATGAAAGGAACGGGGAAGCTCAGAGAAGCTGTATAATTTAAGGTCACATAGTGGCAAAGCCAAGTCCCACTGACTATGGTTTGCCCGATGATTTCCTTGGCCTGTGTCCCTGTTACACACAGCTGCTCCCACTCCTGTATTTCCCACTGTCCCCCGTTCTACCTCATAGTCAGCCCCTCCTCACTCCCCTCTGGAATCTCAAATCCTTTGTGGCAGTCCATCTGTTGCCATGGCACTAGATTATGATGTCTCAGAGCCTGGATGACTATGTATCATTCCTGGGCTGTGGAGAGCAGGGCTCACAGAGGTGGGCATTGTCCAGTGGGCAGACTGGCATGGAGGAACATAAATCCCTGGAAACAAGGAGTCATGGCCTTGAGCCCAGCTGGGAAATCACCCTGGGAACCGGGGCCAAGGCCAGGAGGGTAGGGTCTGGCATGGCCTGCCCTGACAGCCTCAGGGTGATGGCTCAGCCTCTTGTGGTAGGGACCGTGGACTCCTCGCTTTGAATGATCTAACACTAAGACATTCACTGAGATTCCCCCAGCAGGGCTGCTTTGCCTTCCATACTTGTGGGTGGTAAAGCCACATTGCCACATCCCTACTCCCTACACCCGCTCAATGAGGAGGAGGCTGTGCCAGGATTCGATTTTAGTTCATACCAAATCTTTCCATATGGTAACATATATTTCAATGGGGCCTGCCCAGGTGGTTCAGTCTAGCTGCAAACCTGAAAGTTTGCCTCAGTTTCCCTAGGGCAGTGCAGTAGCAAAACACAAGTTGCCTCAAGCCAAGTTTGCTGCCTGCTTCTTCTCAGGCCAAGTTTGCTGCTTGCTTCTGGCACATTGCTGGAGTCTACCACATGCAGGCAGCTATATGCTCTCTATGGTTTCTCTGTCCTGCCTCCTTATCCTGTGGTTCCTGGGACCTGAGAAACATGTTACATTATTTGCCTTTCTAGGGATTCTCCTCCTTAGACTGCTGATGCTAGGTGGCTGAAGGCCTCTGTGGAAAGAAGAGCTCAAGATAAGATCTCACTTTTGCCACCTACCCTCACTTCTGGGAGCCTTGGTTTCCTCTTCTATAAAATGGATCTATGACAGCTACTAGGATACCTGTGAGAAGTCTCTGGGATTTGAGGTGAAAGGTTCTAGGCCAGAGCCAGAGTAGAAACATCCAAACTGGCTCAGATGGTGATCAGATCTAAAGTACAAACCACACCATGGGACAGCCACTCCTGCAGCTGCCATTTCCTGGGCCTGGTAGCCTCAAAACTGCCCTTCAGGACTACAATGGCACTTTTGGCTGCTCTGGCCTTGCCCAGTATCTGCCGGGGTTTGACACACAGAGTGAGGCCAAGCTCATCTGAGCTTCCAGAATGCCAAGAGGAAATAATCCTGGGAGATAACCCACCATCCTGTACATGGTGACAGAGCCCCTTCACCACTTTCTACAAGCCTGCCATGTTCTCCTGGACCCTGCCCAGGCATCCTTACCCTACTTGACTCTTGCTCTCAGCTCACCCGGACAGGGGATGGTTCAGCCTTCTGTGTTTCCAAGATAGAGGCCCAGCCACATGTATCTCTGAGGTATTGCTTTGGTGAGCCATGGTGGGGAAGAGCAGGCACTGAGTTTCAAGTTCTACTTACATCCCTGTGCCCACCCAGATGTGCCTGTGGGGAGGTAACCTAACATCTGGAGGCCTGAGTTTCCACATTTGTGGAGCGAGGACAGTACAGGCCTCTTGTAATGAGGCACAGAGACTGGCACTCAGGAAGCATAGACGTGTGAGCCCAGGAAACAGAGCTGGGATATTAGGAAATGTGAATTTATTTATTTATTTGGCTGCTGAGCTTCTTGTGGGATTCCCCAGGTGCTATGGTTCTTATAAGTACTTTAGGAAGATTTTGGACTCTAATTCCTAGTAAAAGATGTCACTGGCATCAGTTCATGACCCCTTGGCCCAGGGCTCAGGGATGAGTGCTTCAGAGTCCTGGGCTGGGGGGCACCAGAGTGTGTATTTATCTCTGCCTTGCTGTGTTTCTCCAGACCAGCTCCTTTACTTCCCTGAGCCTCAGGCTCCCCATTTCTAGGTGGACTCTAATTTCTTGGGTTTCTTCTAGCCCTGCACATGCAGAGGCATCTGTGTCAGGAACGTGCAGGTGTCTTGCAAAACCCATGAAAAAGAGTAGCAGAGACAGCTGTGGGGAGTTTCTCTTCTCCCCAGCCTGCCAGGCAGCTAGAGGATGTGGGAGAGATTGCTTGGGGTCAGGTGAGGCTCTGGGAGCTGAGGTTGGGCATTTGGCTCAAGGACTCCTGAGAGCTACCTTATTCCTTATTACTAAGTCTGACATCTCCCCTGTGCCACAGGGTCTGGGGCAAAGCAAGCCATGCTAGGCTTCTGGGGGGGGGGGGGGGTGGGAATCAGTGATGATCGAGAGTTGAGGTCATCAGGTGACAGGTCATCAGATGATGAGGCCATCAGGTGACAGGCCAAACCCGACCTGCTGCCCATCTTTGTAAATAAACTATTGGAACACAGTCCTGCTCTTACCTATTACCTGGCCATGTCAGCCTTGCAATGGCAGTGCTGAGAGGTAACACACTCTGTGGTCTCAAAGCCCCTACTCTGTGCCCCTTTTTGGAGAAAATTTGCCAGCTTCTACCCTAGAGGGAGATTTAGGGAAATGTGGGAGCTAGGAGGAATCCCCGACAAGGTCTAGAGATTAGGGAAGGCCTTTTGGACAAAGGGCCGTGTGAACAAGTTGTGATGATGTGAGCAGTGGAGTGTGCTGGGACCACCAGCAGTCAAGGTGGGGACGAATTAGGAAATGTAGGAAGGGAAGAAAAGAGGGGGAACCAGCTGGGATGAAGAACCTCTCAGCATCTGGGAAGAGGCAGAATCCAGGTAGCCCCTGACTTCACATCTAGCCCCAAGGTCATTTAAAGGAGTGACTTGGACACACGGCAAATCACAGTACAGCCACGACTCAAATGCAGCACGCTGGCTCCCTGCCCAGAGCACTTTTCCTTTTCCACCTCGCACTTCAGAGCAACATTTAGACCCATAGCCCCAGCCTGCACAGGGAGTAGACCCTGCAAGCAGATTCCATACAGAGAAGTCCCAGCACACCCGCCTGGGGCCATTATATAGGAAGTCACAGCTGCAGAGCCAGGGCAGTCAGGCAGGACAACTGCTCTCACCTCTGTCCTGACCAAATGTAGAAGGCACCAGATCCAAGCACGGCACAGAGCAGGAATGATAGGGGCACCATAGTACACAGCCCTCTATGTCTCCTGCCTGACCCCAAAACTAGTTCCTCTGAGACTGCAGTACATAGGTAGGGCTTGGAGGTTTTTTGCCTGGGTCAACCTGGATCTTGATCCTTTCACACATGCCACTCACATAGGTGGGATGACCGGCATGCATCACCAGACATGGCTTGTTGAGCTGAGGTTCTTGTGAATTTTTTGATCTATTAGATCTCCACATTCTTAGTATATAGGATTATAAGAGTGAGCCAACCTTCCATGCTCTGTGTCTCTCATTTTATAGTTAATAAAAGGGAGGCTCAGAGTTTAGGGACTGTCCCCAAGATTGGGTAGATGGAGGAAGGCCAGCAAGGACATAGATCTCCCCAGAATGGCCTCTGGAATTGCCTCAGGGTAGGGACCATTGATGCTGGTGTCTTCCTAGGAGATGTTCATGTCCATCACTGCCCTGAGTACAGAATACTTCATTTATCTTGCCACAAAGTGAGCATCTACTTTTAAGATTCAAGATATGAGCTCCCTGGTGCATTCAGAAGAGATTTGACTTTAGGTCTGCTTAGCGGGGGAGCCAGGAAGGGGGGTAGGGAGACAGACAGGTAAAGGGACTGAGAACTAGGGTTAAAGCAACTACTATAGGGGATCAGGGAGGACTTCTTGGAGGTGGCAGTGGAACCATACTTTTAGGGAAGGGATGTGGTGTTGGATGTTAGTGGATCCTGTTCCCCTTATTGGATTTGAGCTCTTCACTCAGAGGGCAAGGCCAGGGTGTCACCTGTGGCACGATGAGAGGTCATAATCTAGCTCTGTGTGTGTGTGTGTGTGTGTCTGTGTCTGTGTCTGAGTCTGTGTGTGTGTACGCGTGTGCCCGCACGCCTACTCGCACCCGTCCTGGGGCTTAAGGCTGGTGGCCTAACATTTGAGCCACAGCTCCCCTTCCAGCTTTTTGGTAGTTAATTGGAGAGAACAGTCTCATGGACTTTTCTACCCAGGCTGGCTTTGAACTGTGATCCTCAGATCTCAGCCTCCTGAGCAGCTAGGATTCCAGATGTGAGCCTCTGATGTCTGGCTTGTTCCAGCTTTTAGAATGGACACCTTCCGGTTATTCTTTTGCCACCTGTATCTTAGAAAAGCCTCCTGTGCTCACCACTTCTTCTTCTTCTTGCCCTGTAGCCAAGAAGACCTGTGCAGACAGTGACTTCACCTGTGACAATGGCCACTGCATCCCCGAGCGGTGGAAATGTGATGGCGAGGAGGAATGTCCTGACGGCTCTGATGAGTGGAAGGCCACTTGCAGTAAGTTCTCCTGCTTGGGTTAGTGGAGGGTGGGCCTTGCCTCACTTTCCTACCTGTTCACTTTCCTGAGAAGCTTGTGAGACTCCTGTGAGGAGATCAAGGGACACTTTGTGCCAGGGAGAAAGTGGGAGGCTCCTGGTGAATGTCAAGTATATCTGGTTGCTTGTTGCTGGTTTGGGGACTTCACAATCCTCTTGCAGGTTGACCCTATTCCGCCAGCATCAAGAGTTAGAAACAGCCCACTGAATCCCTTTGCTCAGATGTGACTACAGTGCATCCTCCAGGCCTCCCCTGCTCTTATGCTTCAGGAACCTAATCGTAATTCCAGTGGCACTAACACAAATGACTGCGGGTGCTTGTTAAGCATTTACGGAGTGCCACATCATGCTAAGCTCTTTGTGTGCCTTAGTTCCTTTTGTCCTCAGAGCAGCCTAGGGAGACAGGTACTGTCACTTTCTGAGGACACTGAAGCCCAGAGAGCCAGGCCTTTGAGAGCCCAGCTCTTTCCTCTGTCTTGGTTGGATGGAGTACAGGAGCTCCATCTTTCACGACCACAGAGGTAGCCAGGGGTAAGGTGGAGGGCCCTGGACCTGCCTCGCATACTCTGGTCTTTGTCTCTCCACGCTTTCTTTTCCTAGCTCTAATCCTCAAAGCAAACTTACACCCAGCAGGTCATTCCCTGACATTTGTTAAATTAAAAAGGAGATGAGAAGGGGGCGGGGAAGGACCCAGTGGTCCAGAGGCAGAGCTTTAGCAGTGCAAGCCTGAGACAAAAGGCTGAGGTAGGGGGTGGAACATGTGGAGGCTGGGGGCTGGTAGGGGACCCAGAAGCCTCTCTTTAGGGGTAACAGCTGCCCCAGAGGCAGAGGCAGGGACAATGGAGGCTGGAGTCCCATCTAGGGCTGCAGTTGGTGATAACTGGGTTTCCTTGTCTCCTAGCAACAGAGCTACCAGCCTGTGTGAGAGAAAGAAAGGGAGAGAGAAAGGGAGAACAAGAGCGGACCCCCGCCCCAGACAAAGGGCCCCTCATCGTCTTGCCCAGCTGCCCTGCCCTCTGCAGTCATGCTGAGAGCCCCATCCTTTCCTCACTCTGCCACATAGCCAGACTCCATGCTCTCCCGAGGTGCCTGGGCAGGAAGGAAGCCTGCTGCTTTGTCCTGAGCTTCAGAAGGAACAAAGCCTCACCACGCCCACTGGGGACTTCCCTCGTGGCAGCCTTGAGAAGGGAGGTAGACCTCACTCAGAGAAAGAAACTGAGGCTCAAACAGGTTTGCCCACCTGGCCAGGGCTGCCCAGCTAACAAAGGGCAAGTCATATACAACCGGGGAAGGGGTATGTAGTCAGCCAGCTCTACTGATGGTATCCCACTGTCTGGACACTGGGGACAGAAAGCAGAGGGAGATGGTGTTGTTAGTGGGGGGCTGTCTTACTGCCTGAAGGCTGTGCTCTCCCCTCTCCCCACACCTGATGACGTTGCCTTTCTTCCTGTCTCCCACCCCGTCTCCATCCCTGTTTTCCCCCCTCAGTTTTCCTCTCACCACCCTCCCTTCCCCTCATCCATTCAGCTCAGTGTTACCTTCCTCCCTCTCACCCATCTCAGCACTTGCTGCCTTCCTACCCTGTGAGCTGTGGGGAGCCCTACTGTTCCACTTTCCCTGCCTCCTAGGTCCCCCTCTCAGTTAGCAATTGAACAGCTGGAGGCCTAGAGAAGTTGACAGACTTATTTCAAAGCCTTGTCTATCCCTAGCAGGTCTCTTTCATAACAAACACAGGCCCTTCAACCTCTCAGAAGTTTGACCCATACCAGCAAGCCTGTGAGAATAGCAGCCAAGGAAACACTCTAAGAACAGAGAAGCCCAGCTCTTCCTTCAGCTATCCTGGTCATTTCCAATAAGCTCCTGCCTGCTTCTCACCCTTCTCTGAGCTCCTTCCCCACCCCTTTTTAAAATGGTGCCTGTCATGGGGTTTAAACTCAGGATGTGGGCAGTGTCCCTGATCGTTTTGTCCAAGGCTAGTTCTCTACCACTTGAGCCACATATTTCATTTTCAGCTTCTTAGTCGTTAATTGGAGATGAGAGTCTCAAGGAATTTTCTTCCCTGGTTTGGCTTTGAACTTCAGTTCTCAGATCTCAGCCTCCTGAGTAGATAGGATTGCAGGCATGAGCCACCAGCCCCAGCCTGAGCCCTGCTTTTAATGTTCCAGAAATTAAAAGGCTTCACAGTCCCAGGATTGTTGAATTCTTCATATTCTGAGACCTTCTTTCTCTTTGATTCAGGATCTCACTTCCTGTGCAGTTACTTTGGTCAGAATCAGGCAGAGCCTGTGGCTAGGGTGGGCTGCTTAGGGGAGTTGGCCACAAGGGTCAGGCAGAATTTGGGGCAATGGAACCTAGTAGCAGGCTTGCTCACAGCTTCCTAACTGAATGTAAACCCCGCAGCCAACCCGCTGTCCATTTAATTGGCATTGCCATAGCAACCCCCCATCGCCTACCAGGTTTCTGGGGCTGTGCCAGCTCCCAGGATAGAGCTCCACTCCTCACCCCTAACAGAGATATTACAGATAGTAAAGCATAGTATTTGCTATCTGATATAGTCGGGTCAGGTCCTTTTGTCTGTGAAACTTCACGCATCTTGTCCAGGCTTCCCGAATCTCTGTTTCTTCTGTAAAGTGTCATCATGGTACCTGCCTTACGGGGATGCAAGGACCCAATGAGAAAATCAAGAGCTGGAGTAAATGAGTGTTCTATTTATTGTCATATTGGACTCTAAGCCCTCTGCCTCCGACATAATAGTTTATTTTAGACTATTAAGACATTGGAATATTATGGTATTCAAAGAGTGTAGGTGAGGGAGAGAGGTGTTGGGAGGGAAAGGCATACCGGAATGGGTCCCAATTGTTCCATTTCCTCCTGCTATGCTGTCTGCTGTGCCTGGTCAGGATTCCTCCCAGCTCTTTTTCTGTCAGGCTCTGAGTTTTGTTCTCATAAAATATAGCCAGAGTCACAATGGGAAAGCCCAGAACATTTGCCTAATGAAAGCAGCATTTCAGCTCTAATTATAGCTCCCTTGATTGGAGTCAGCTCTGACCCACCTTCAGGCATCTGTTGGGAGGGGTGTAGCGAGCAGAGGAGAGAGTGCTTCAAGGGGAGCAAGTTACATCTCTGGGTGCTACTTACAAATATGGATTTTTTTCCTTTCATCTTAAAACCGGGAAGAGGGCCTTTCTTGATGAGCCAAACTCACCTTCCTATTATAGATTAGGAAATGGCGGTCTGGAGCTTTTCTGCCATCACTCAGCAAGTTAGGGACTACCCTAGCTAGAAGCCTTTTGCCTGATCCCATGTGGCGTAGCTCCCTTCTTCTCTACGGAAGAATGGTCTCTTAGGTGGAGCAGGAGCTAGGCAGAGTGACATTGGTGGTTCCTATAGCCTGCGTCTAAGAGCTGGCAGTCCCCATTTGGAGACTCTTTGGAGGTTGACACTTTAGACTTGCTTGACAATGAGCAGCCACCAAGTACTCTCATTCTTTTTTTTTTTTTTCAACAGACATTTCCTTTTTTTTGTTCATTTGTGAACTTATGAATTGGAGAAAGACCCATGGGTTTGGATTTCTGGGGCAGGATTCTCAGGAAATTAGTAAATACCTTCAGCCACTCCAAAGTAGTTTCAAGGCCCCTCACCAGCATTTGGAGGTGCCTGTCTTTTTGCAGTGGTGTTCTTCACTCCTGCCTCATAGAACCTGAGGCTAGAGATGCCCCTTGGACACACCTGTCACAGAAGGAGAGGCTATCCGGGGATGAGAGCTGCATAGTGGTGAAATCAGATCTCTCCATCAGATCTCTCTCATTTATTTTATTTATTTTCTATCAGTTGTGGGGCTTGAACTCAGGGCCTGGGTGCTGTCCTTGACCTCTTTTGCTCAAGGCTAGTTCTCTACCACTTTCAGCGACCGCGCCACTTCCGGTTTTCTGGTGGTTAATTGGAGATAAGAGTCTCACAGACTTTCCTGCCCGGGCTGACTTTGAACTGTGAGCCTCAGATCTCAGCCTTCTGTGTAGCCAGGATTACAGATGTGAGCACCAGCTTATGTTTCCTCATTTAAACTACACATTTCATTACATAGATTATTCAGGCTTTTTTTTTTTTTAAGTGGAGCTGGAGTACATAGAGATTGTCTTGCCCAAGAACCTTAGCATTAGTAAATAAAATGGGGACTCAGTTCTCTGTGACTCTAACTCCCATACTGTTTTTCCTCTATCATGTTGCCTGGGGCCTTGGCTGAAAGTAAGCCTCAGAGGGCCACCCTGCACAGCCTGCCAGAGCAAAGATATAGGAGCTGTCTTATAGCTCCAAGGTGTTAGGGACAAACCAATAGGGTTTACTTTTCTTATGAGCAATGGTTAAGTGCAATAAGTTATAAATATAGATGGGGGATGGAAGTCCAGCTGTGTTCCTTACCATAAGACTTCAAGCAGACCTCTTACCTCTCTGGGCTTTGTTCTCTTCATCAGCACTTCCTAGAGCTCTGTAGTACAGAAGCCTAGCCTGGAGCCTGGAAAACCATGTTCACTCTTAGCTACATCCTAAGAGAGGCCAGCCGAGGAGTTTCAGGATATTGGAGCACCAATATCCAGTTCCTGTCTGAACCTTTGGCTCCTGCCATTCCAGATGTTCATCAACATTACCTCCAAGGCCCTTCTAGCCTGGCATTCCAAGAGTCTGGGCTGTTTGGAGGTGAGGTGATGGTATGCAGCACTGCTGAGTCCTTGAGAGCCTGTAATTAGAGCTGTCTATTTAGGGACACAGCAAATGTCTTATTAATTATAAAGAAAGGAAGCAGACGATTGTTTAATCATTGTCCTTGCTGAAAGGTTATGCTATTAACTATATAAATATTCATTAAAAGTTCAGCCAGCTGACTGCTACACTGGGGTCTGCAGAACCAGACATCCGGATGTGGTTCATATGTCCAAGCGCCCTTTTAGTCACTTGACCTTTGGAGAGGAGAATCTGAGGCTAGGTCTTGAGCACACAAAGTTTGATGGAAAGGGCAGGACTGTAGTAGTTAGGGGTGCCGGTTTTGAACTTGGGGCCTGGGTGCTGTCTCTGAGCTTTTTTGCTCAAAACTAGTGTTCTATCACTTGAGCCATAGCTCCACTTCTGGCTTTTTGGTGGTTAATTAGAGATAAGAATCTCAGAGACTTTCCTGCCAAGGCTAGTTTTGAACCATGATCCTCAGTTCTCAGCCTCATGAGTAGTTAGGATTGTAGGCATGAGCCACCAGCAATCTGGGACTCAGATTTTGCCTCTCAGTTGTATGTTTGGGCCAGGTCTTGATCTTCTTGATCCTCAGTTTCCTCATCTGTACAATGGAGTACTTACCTGTAGAAATGCTGCTTTGTTCAGTCCAGGGAACACTGCTGATATGCTAGTCCATTGTGAAAAGTAGCCCTAAAATTGGTACACACAGCCTGAAGGCTCTGCTTATTTGTCAGAGTGAGGGTAATGGTGTGTCTTAGTTGAATCTGGCTATTGTAAAAAATATCTTAAGTAGTGTCGTTTGGACACAGCAGAAATCTATTGCTTATAGTTGCAAAAGCCACAGAGTCAATGTATCATAGATGGTGTCATCTTACCATAGCAGAAGGGACAAGGGAACTCTTTTACAAGGGCATTAACCCATTCAAGAGGGCTCATGACTTAATCACCTCCTAAACATCTCACCTCTTAACACTACCACATTGGGGATTAAGTTCCAAATTAATTGAGAAGCAGGGCTGGTGGTTGGGAGTAGGGGGCATAAGCAAATATAAAGTATTTTGTATAGAGCAGCCTGACACACCTTAGGTGCCTAGGACATGAGACTCTTGAGCTCCCTGAAGAGGTTCAGTTTCCTGAGATCTGGTTTAGGGATGAGTGGTAACCTGCTCTTCCATCCTATTGCTTTCTCAGGCACTTGTAAATGTCTACAACACCTGTATCACTTTTATAGTATCATTGTATGTGAAAGAGGTAAAGTATTCTATATGTTTTGGATGTACACATTGATGTACAGAGGTTCTCAAACAGAAGTACCTGGGAATCACCTGGCCTGGGGGTGGATTGTTAACTAAAATATAGATTCCGTACTCTGCCTTCAAATCCTAGAATTGGCTCATAGCTAGGGCCCAGTAACCTGTACCTCTGACAGCTTCCTGGCCTCCTCTCCCTCTGGGAGATGCTGGTTAGCTTTCAGCTTCTTCATGTCTTGGCGGGACCCAGAAATGCTTCCTTGAGGTTCTGTGGTATGTGGCTGATAGAGGTGACCTGGAGGGACTTGCAATCTTCAAATTCCTAATCCTCTTCACATCACAACTTGACATGATAGCCCAAGGTAGCTTGTTTTTAAAAGGTCACTGAGTGTCAGTACTTCACTGAACTCTGTAAAGGGAAACTTCTGTAAAATGAATCCGGAATTCCCAGTGGACTGCTGTGTACTTCATAAAATGTGCTTCTAAGGATAACCTGGGGCCCGCACTTGGGTGGCCAAGCACAGCATTGTCTGCCATGGCATAGTGTTGTCCAAGGCCCTTAATGTAGACACATATACCCCTACCCCATTTTTCTGTGACTGTTCACCATCCCTTGTAGTCTCATCCCAGCTATAGAAGTAAGAGGAGAAGAAGCTAGTCTGAGGTCAGAGTTCAGATTGAGACATGAGTTGTCCCTGCCTCTGGGGAGCAACAGACTATGCTTAGTCTCTGGCATCATACACAGCTGCCAGAATCCTCATACCATTCTTTGCCAGCTGTGTGACTGGAACTCAGTGCTTACCCCACCATGTCTGGTCCCCAGTAGTGCTGAATAAGTTTATTCACTGAATGAATAAACAAGACTTGCGCAGATAATAATAATAGGGAACATCTAGCGAGCACTGGGCCGAGTGTTCTTGGCAATGCTTTATAGACATTAACCTGGTCATCATAACAATCCTGTGAGACAGGTTGTAATGCTATCCTCACTTTATTGATGTAGAAATAAATATTTCTGGCCAAAGTCACATAACCAGTCAGCCAGACTCCAGAGCCCATGTCCTCAAGCTCTGTGTTGGAGGATAGGACATAATCCTTACCCTGTGCCTGGCACATCCTAGACACCACTGAGATTGGTCATTCTGTATGTCCTGGAAGTCGGTATGTGCCAACCATGAAGGTCTGAGGTGCATCTGCCTCAGCTATTACGTGGATCAGGGCAAGGTCAGGATGAGAGTAGCCCCTGGCCCCAGGTAGTGTTCTCATTTCTTCTTCCAAATCGAGAATCAACCTGGGGCTTCAGGCCCCTGACTGAGTCAGCCTCTGATTGCAGCTGCAGTAATTATAGCTGCGCAGTCCCGCTGGGCCCTGCCACACCGCGGCTGACCCCACCACCATCACTCATCTCTGAGAGAGATGCTAAGGGTGAATTGGAGCTGCTGGGGCCTCAGTGAGCCCCTTCAAATCCACTGGTTCTGATCTGGAGCCTCTGATCTGGAAGGCGAACTGAGGTCCAAAGGCCCACAGCTGGAAAAGGCAGGGAAGATTGCAGAACATGGTGGCCCCACATCACCAGAGCTACAAGGGGAGATCTGGAGGGGTGAGAGGGTGTGGCTAGGTGCAGGAAGAAGTCATTGGACAGAGAAGGGACTTGAATGTCAGAGACCAGGGGCCTGTGAGAGAACATTACACAGGGCAATGGTGGAGGAAGTCAGATTTAAGATTTAGGGGCAGACAGAGGCTCTGGCTAAAGAAACTGAGACAGGACAGAAAGCTTTGATGGATTTCCCAGGGCCTTTCGCCAGGTGGCTGGGACCAAGTGGAAGGTCTGGTTGGCACTACGCCCTGTGTTTCCCCTTGGCTAACTTATACACATCTGTCTCCACAGCCCGGCAAGTGTGTCCTGCAGAGAAGCTGAGCTGTGGACCCACCAGCCACAAGTGTGTGCCTGCCTCCTGGCGCTGTGATGGGGAGAAGGACTGTGAGGGTGGAGCAGATGAGGCCGGCTGTGCTACCTGTGAGTCTGGAGTCAGAGCTCCAGGGTCTGCCAAGCCTAGCTGGGCAACCTTGAGGAGTGGGGCCTGGGAGTGAAAAGGAAAGCATAACAATCAAGACATAGTAACCGCCAGGCACTTGGGAGACATTTTCTTCTGTCATCCTCACAATCACCTCATGAGTAGCCATTATCATCCTCATTTTAAGGGTGAGGAAACTGAGGCTCAGACAAGGGAGGAAAAGTGCCACTCAAGGCTGAGTGATGGAACTGAGATTCAAATTCAGGTCTGGAATGCAAAGCTCTTTATCATAACTGGCATCTGCTCATCCATTCCACAAGCCTACCAATCTCTGAGCAAGGGCAGGGGACCAGGGAGCATGCTGGATGGACGAATGGTGGTGGTTTGAGCCAGGGCACTGGCATTGCTGGGGAGGAGGGATAGATTCCTGGGGTAGGAAGGATGACTGTTGCTGAAATCTCGGATGTCACAGGGTGGGGAAGACATTCCCAGCAGCCTCAGCAGGGACAGATGGACGTGGTCATCGGGATAGTTCCACATCACTGAGCTTTAAACACAGGATTATCTGCTCCTCGGGGAGCAGGCCAGCAAGGCCTGGGCCAATGGGGGCTGTGGTCCAGCCTCACTCATTTTAATTCGATTGGTAGCTACTATGTGCCAGGTACTGGGTCACAGAGGAGAGTAGACTGGTTATACTACTGGGGCTGTGAGGCTGGGCTGAGATTATGAGTAGTCACTCAGGAGAGCTTTTGACAGGCACTTTGCTCACTGCTGCCTCTCTGTGAGAATTCTAACTTCCTGCTCCAGACAAGAAGCTGTCTCTTCCCAAGACTTGACTACTAGCACTCTGAGATTCTAAGTCTGGAGTTTGGATGGATCTAATGCAGGAACCCATTTGTAAGGAGAGGGAGCAGATCTTGTCTGGGACCCGCAGTTTTAAAGTGGTGACACTGGCTTGTTTCTTCAGCTGTGATCATTTACTAGGACAGGAACATTACCCATTAACTACTGGAGCCAGGGTATTAGAAGGTCTTCTTAGGCTATTTGGCCACAGCTACCTGACACCTGGGTAGAGGAAGAATTCTGCCATCCCTGAGGCTCTTTCATTTATGAGTGCTGTGAGTGGCTCCCTGGGCCTAGGTGGTAATACCTTAGAGTTTCTGATAGCTTCAGAACCTCAGTATTAATAAGCACTTTCTACCAGGACTCTCACAGAGCAGGAGTCCTCCCATCCTGTACAGGTACAAGCTGAGTGTAGACAGGCAGGAGGTGAGCTAATCCAAGCATCAGCCTCATCTTGAGAGGGGCTACAGTGTCATGTAGGGTGTTCTTGTCCCACCCATGCCCCCGTATCCCAAAAGCCCAAAAGGAGATAAAATGCAGCTGTCAGAAACTTGGTAGAGCTGTCAAAAATACATGACATGAACTGCCTGTGTTGTGGAAACTCAAGTCATCACTATATATTATATTCAGGAACAATGAAAATTGACATTTTTTTTCCACCAGAAAATAGAAACACAGACTCAGGGTGCCTCCATGTGGAGAGATCTGGTACTGCTACCACCCTGAGAGCTGCGGTCACAGCCCCTGCTTCTCTGACCCACCTGACACAGGGCCAGTTCTTGGCCAGTGTCTGAAGACACAAAGGAAGGGAGGAGGTTAGGCATTCATTGTCTTGAAAATAGCTCACATGCCAAGACGGGAGAAAAACAAACAAAGGGGGAAAAAATAAATAAAATGCAGAAAAGCTGAGGAAAAGGATCAAAACAGAAAGGAAATACCCCAAACCTAAGTTCTCTCGTCACCATGGACTGCCTATATGGCCCTGGAAAAGTTTCTCTCCTCTCTGAAACTCAGCTTTCCTACCTAGAAACTAGCAGCTGGACTGGTCTGTAAGGTCTTCCTTGCTCTGAGTTCACCCTAACTGAGGGAGGAAGCCCAAGGCACCAGACAGGGCCCATGACCTATGCCCTTAATTACTAAACACCCCTAACTATCCCAGTCAGTAGATGGCAGTCTGTTACTATGCTCTGCACTTGCACTCCCTGTTGGGAATTCCATGCCAGGCCTTCAGGATATGATGGTCCCTGGGCTGTGTGTAGCCTGGGGACAGATGGAGGACATGAAACTTAAACACGTGGGCTGGCTGTCCAAGGAAGACAAAAAGGAACAGAGGCAGAGGTAGGTTTGCCAATCAAAGAAGTACACGGTGTGTTACGGAGAGGATGGAATTTGCACCCTTAAAGGATGAGAATTCATGAGTGAAAAAAATTATAGAGGCAGTGGTGAGCAAGAGGTGGGTCCCAGAAGATTGGAGAGACTGGAGCAAAGGCTGGAAGGAAAGACTGTGCACAGGGGTTAATCTGTAGGGTGGCTGGAGCCTGGGGTGGGTTCAGGAGGAAGGTGATGGGCCCGAGCCATGGATGCTTGGCTGGGACTTGGCTGGAATGAGCAGGTTATTCACAGCTAGGCCATCAAGGAACATCCTAGACCCTGTCGCCTGGGCTTAGACATGTGAACAGAGCATTTCCTGGCTTTGGGGACAGCTTTGGAGCTCTTCCTTTGTCCCGCCATGCTGCTGGGGGCCAGGAGAAATTCTTAACTCTCATTGCTTGAGGTCTGGGGAGCGCAGCCAGGGGCAGGTGTGTGTTGCCCCGGTTTGGAAGCTTCCGTGCCCCCAGTGCAGGCCTCTGGCAAGGACCCGTTCCGGCCCCACAGGCCAGGGTGGGACCCTCCGTAGCAGGACCAGCGGGCCGGGTGGCAGAGCCTGGGGTCGCGGCCGGCCGACCGGCTCTCTGTCCCGCGCAGTGTGCGCCCCGCACGAGTTCCAGTGCAGCAACCGCACCTGCCTGGCCGCCCTGTTCGTGTGCGACGGAGACGACGACTGCGGGGACGGCAGCGACGAGCGCGGCTGCGCGGGCCCGGCCTGCGGGCAGCACGAGTTCCGCTGCGGCGCCGACGGCGGCGGCCCCTGCATCCCCGAGCGCTGGGTCTGCGACCGCCAATTCGACTGCGAGGACGGCTCGGACGAGGCGGCCGAGCTGTGCGGCCGGGCCGGCGCGGGGACCGCGGCGCCCGCAGCCTGCGTCCTCACCGCCCAGTTCGCCTGCCGCAGCGGCGAGTGCATACACCTGGGCTGGCGCTGCGACGGCGACCGCGACTGCAAGGACAAGTCGGACGAGGCCGACTGCCGTAAGCCCCCACCGCACCGCCCAGCCCCACCCAGGGCTGCGGAGCCCGCACCGGCCCGCCGGGCCTCCGCGTGCTTTCCCTGCCTGCCTGCCTTGCAACACGTGGCCCTGCTTTAAGCCAGGAAGGAGACGTGGGCCGGGAGAGGTCAGGCCTGGGGCCCTGACGGGTTCTGCGCGGCCTCTCCTCCTGAGACTCCTCCTGTTCCTTGTGTGCTCAGGAGCTCCTCCCACGTGCTCTCCCTCCCTGTTGGGCCTATCACGTTCTACAAACGGTTCCAGCTAGACTAGGTCCCTCCAGGGAGCTGCCTCAAGGTCCTTCTGCCTGCTCACAGTCCGTCATAGGCCGATGGCCTCCTGTGTACACCCCTCAGCGCCCCTCCACCCCTGAGTTCTGGCCGGAAGCATGGGAGAGGAGGTTGGCTCTTTGTGGCCTCCAGATTCCCCACTCCCCACAATGCCTGGCTCCGGAAGAGGTGACTGAGGGGACAAAGTCATTAAGTTATGAGCATCAGGACTCCACAGAAGGCCACGTGTCTGTTCTGAGAGATGATGGACAGGGTTAGATAGACCTGAGTTTTAGTCCTGGCCCTGCCAGCCAGAGCGCTGTGTGACTGCAGACAAGGCCGTTCCCCTCTCTGAGCTTCAGTCTTCCAGTGTGTAAACTGGAGGTGCCTTGGCCAGGTGTCCTTAGGGGGCTCCTAAGTTCAGCCACTGGTGTTCTTGCCAGGGGGTATAGCATGAGGCTGGGGAGAGCTATCCCAGCACCACACTGACCCTGACCTCTCCTCTTGCCCTCTCTCAGCAGCAGTAGGGACCTGCCATGGGGACGAGTTCCAGTGTGGGGATGGGACTTGTGTCCTTGCGATCAAACGCTGTAACCAGGAACAAGACTGCCCAGACGGGAGTGATGAAGCTGGCTGCCTGCAGGGTGCGTTTGCGTGTGGTCAGAGCGGAGGAGCAGCATTCTCCTGAGTCCCCCGGCCCTCACAGGCCCCCTCCCTCACCTGGAGAGAGCAGAGCTGAGAGGCTCCCCCTCAGTCCCTTAGATACACTGCCCCCAGATCATCACTTGCCCCTTCTTCACCTGGCCCCCTCTCCTGTGCGGTTCCAGAGGCACCAGCACTGGATTTCTAAGGATTTGGGCAAAAACTGAAAGGGGGCTGGGGGGACATCAAAGGTCACTTCAGGAAATCTAGGCCCTGCCATCTCCTCTCCCAACTGTTCACACGCAGGCTTTGGGTTGACTTCCCTCACTCATTCTCAGACTAAGCAAAGGCTGAATCCTGTTCTTCTAGTCATCACCTGCCTTTTATATGAACAGAGGGGACCCTAACACACTAGTCATCAGGGAGAATGGACAAAGATTTCCCCCCTCTCCCTGAGCTTATTCCAGCCTTTTAAGGTCTCTGTGGGGCTGTTGCATGGTCTTTCCGAGGGCCCCAGTGCTGCCTAATCAGAAACAGATACTCCTCCTCCCCCCGACCCTCCCTGTCCTGCCAGCTAGATGAGATTCAGCATCCTGGTTATCCCTGGGATCCTGTCCTGTGAGCAGAGCTTCCACTGGCTCTGAGCTATTCCTCAGAGACCTGTGGGGGCTGATGCTGGAACTCCATTCCTCTTCTGTGGGCCCTGGCCCCGCCTTGCCCTTCCTACACATGGTCTTACAGACACTGTGCACTCTCTTGTCTGGCCCGACAGAGTCAACTTGTGAGGGTCCCCGCAGATTTCAGTGTAAGAGTGGCGAGTGCGTGGACAGCGGGAAAGTGTGTGATGCTCAGAGGGACTGCCGAGACTGGTCGGATGAGCTTCTGAAAGAGTGTGGTATGGTACCTGTGTATACCCAATAACTGGACTAACCCTCCTGCCAACCCCCCACTCCTGGCCTCTGGGTCCCAGGCCCTCATGTGCCATTCTGCTCTGACACTTTCTGATCTTACTGTCTCTGGGCCTGTGTGCCATCCTGTGGCCTCAGAAGGGGCTCTTTATCCCTGGAATGAGTTCTGTGCTGTATCTCTATAAAGCTCTAAGTACCTTCCTTTCCAGCCTGGATGCTCAAACGTTAGGCTGTTCCTCACAAACTTGGTCTTTCCTCTTCATTCCTTCCACATTTAGACCTCTGAGTGTGTGCATTCTGCAACTATCTTTTCCTTGGAGTTCCTGTCCTGCTCCCTGGTCTCTAAGGCTACCAGCCCCGTGCAGTCAACCTTACAGAGGGAGAAAGGAGGAAGAACAGAACAGCTGCCAATTGAGACACGCCCCAGGGCCACTGCTCCATGCTGAGTGAGGATAGGGCAGTCCTAGGAGGTGGCACCATCCCGGGACCTGCTGCAGAAAGCACACTTTCACGCTGGACTAAAGTAAGGAATGGAGTGAGGCAGCTGTCTTTAAGGCTAGAGCTCGCAGGTGGGTGCCAGGCGAGAGAGAACAGAGGATCTAATGTGGACTCCAGATGTCATGAGTCATTCTTCTGTCGCTCTCAGGCCAGTAGTTCAGAGGATTCGGATAGAGAAGCCCTGAAGACAAGAGCCTAGGCCTGTCCCTGTCTCCTAAGAGACGTCGCCAGCACCTTCTCTCCTGGGCACTCAGAAACTGAGTGCTTTGGAGTTCCTGAGAACAGTATCTCTCGTTCCCCTTCACAGATTAAAAACCAAACTGCTTGAAAGAAAGAGTAGCTTCATGAAGGTTATTCAGTTCCATCTGAGCTTGTGGAAACAGACACTTTACCTGCCCCTAGGCTTTGTCAAGAAAGACTCAAAAGAAGAAACCTAGATTCAGGGACTGCTAGCCTACTAAACTCTCTCTTTTGTTTTTTGCATGACATGTCAAAGAGAAGTATGCATGTATGTGCTTGTGTCTGTGTGCCTCCTTTCTGTCTCTGTGCTGGTGAGAGGTCAGTATGTCCATAGCCACATCTCCTGAGCAAGGCAGGGAAATGCCATTTGCACATCTGTGTGTGTGTGTGTGTGTGTGTGTGTGTGTGTGTGTTCAAGTCTGTGTAGATGTGTCAGTATAGTCCCCAAGTCTCTCTGTGTCCCTGTATATAAGCTGGTGTGTGTGTGTGTGTGTGTGTATGCATGCAGGTGTGAGCATGCAAGGGTGTATGCATGCTGGGGAACATGACATCACTACTTCTTTCCATGGAAGGAAGCCTCAAATACCATTCCTTCCCCTTCCTTCCTCTCCTGGCTCCTTAACAGAATCACCTCCAGGCTAGACAGAATTATGGAGGGCCAGAAACTTCCTTTCAGGCCTTCAGGGGAAGGTAGACAGAGATAGACAGATCGGGACTTCTTTCCTTTCTCTTCCCCCAACGCATTTCAGCCCTGGAGGACTGCTCGTCTATCATCAGAAACCAGACCCTTTGAGCCAGAGTTTCTTTTCCCCTTTCAGAGCCAGCCTACATATGCCACTCCAGTGAGTGCTCAATACACAGAACTAACGTTGCTGCCACCTGCACATGGAGAGGAAGGAAGTGAGTGGGTGCATGAATGAGGCAGTGAGTGAATGAGCAAACAAATGAATGAAGGTACCCAGGAAGTAATATAGATAGTATGAGAGATCAGAGTGTGTACAGTGATAGAATAACTCCTGCAGATAGTGTCCTCCCTAGAGTCTACTCTGAAGGTACTGTGTCTCAGCCCACTCCCAAGAGTGTGAGTGTGGGGCTTCCCAGGGCTGGACTTGGCTGAGCTACCCCTGGACCTCCTAGTCATGGGGTTGCTGTGATCTTGTTCTTTCAGTTGCACCAGCATTCCAGGGAAACAGGAGGAGGCCCAGGGGTAAAGGGGACGTTCCCTGAGCATGGCTCCAGCTGGAGGTGGGGGCACCCCATAGCTGTGCATGGCCTGGGTTGGGCAGCTCAGACCAGCTGTATGCATGGCCAGGCCTGGCTCAGCTCAGCTCTGCTTGGCTTGGCTGGATTTGCAGTGCATGAGCCTGGTGGGCAGAGGGGTGGTGTGACTCCTTCCCTTGGCTTGTGAAATTAACCTGTGATTCTAAAGCTCAGGAGATGCTGTGAGAACTTGGTGAGCCTTGGTCCTGGACTCCTGACTTCCCTTAGGACCTTCCAGAAGGTGGTGAGGGAGTGGAGGATGGGGAAACCAGATCTAAAGCACCTCCTGGCATTTCTTCATTCCTTGCAGCAGTGGGTAATCCTGAGACCAGGCCTGTGATGAGGTGGAGGAATAGGCACAGGTGCTGAGATGAGAGGAGTTAAGAAGACAGTAGGAGAAAACTGACTTGGCAATAGGTCTGTGTAGAAAAAGCCCTGGCCTGCCAGGTATCAATGGCTCATGCCTATAATCCTAGCTACTCAGGAGGCTGAGGTCTGAGGATCACGGTTCAAAGCCAGCCTGGGCAGGAAAGGCCCTGAGAGACTTATCTTCAATTAACCACCAGAAAAGCAGAAGTGGCACTGTGGCTCAAGTGGTAGAGCATTAGCCTTGAGCTGAAGAGTTGAGGGACAGCACCCAGGCCCAGAGTTCAAGCCCCATGACAGACGGGGCAGGGTGGGGGGGGGGGGGGGGAAGGGAAGCCCTGGCCTAAGAAACTCAGATACTATAAGAACAGCATGGGGCCATCCTGTGTTGTTTGGATTCCCTCTGATTGGCACACTAAGCTTGTGCTCTGCCCAGAATGGGACATGAGCACATCTGTCCAGAGCAAGTATATCCAGAGAAAGGCATCTGAATGGCAGGGGACCAGACATGTGCCTTTAAGGAAGCTTTGAGGAGCCCCCTGCACCTGGTCAAACCACAGAGCATTGTTCAGAATGGGGGAAAAGCTCAGGAGACAGATCCTGTAAAGAAGAACTTTGCAAAAGCTGGGGGTGTTCCAGAGTGTTCAGTCAGCTGCTCCAGGAGGAGCATAGACTCCCTGAGTCTGGAGAAGTACAGGCAGGGGCCTTTCAAGCAGGCATTCTTGGGCTGTCTTAAGAGTTGGACCTTATACATACAGCCCCCTTGAACCTGAGATCATAAGGAAGGATGAGCTGTATGAAATAGATTTCCAAAAGACTTCAGGTTGGTAGACAGAGCCCTGGTTTGTGAGGCCAAAGACCTGAGTTCTGGTTCCATTCTGTCCTTGTTAGTGTCTGGTCTGAGCAAGGACCTGCACTCTTTGGATCTCCTCTATCCCTGCCCTCTGGTTAATGAAGCTGAGGCTCAATGAGGTCTCCAGCCCTCCTGGTTCTCTGGGAGTCCTGCTGCCTTGAGGCTCTGCTTCTGCTCTGCATTCCCCCACCTTGTCCTCATCCCTTCTGGGCACCAACTTCAGGGGCCCATGTCCCTCCCCAGGGCTGAATGAGTGTCTGCACAACAATGGTGGCTGTTCCCACATCTGCACTGACCTCAAGATCGGCTTTGAGTGTACTTGCCCAGCAGGCTTCCGGCTCCTGGATCAGAAGACCTGTGGCGGTGAGACCTCCCCCTATCGACCCAAATGGAGGCACAGCCTCCTGCCAGTTCTGACTTCTGCTCCTCCCCACAGACATTGATGAGTGTGAAGACCCAGATGCCTGCAGCCAGATCTGTGTGAATTACAAGGGCTATTTTAAGTGTGAATGTCACCCTGGCTACGAGATGGACGCACTGACTAAGAACTGCAAGGCTGTAGGTATGGACCATGCAAGGGCAAGATGAGTGGGTACAGGAAGTAACATACTTCCACATGTGAGGAATGATTGTGTATGCCTGCACATGTAGTGCTCAAAGTGTAACTACACATAATAAACGCAATGCACTACATATACCGCATAGCGACACCCAGAACAGCCTATGGAGACTATACTTGCACAACACAATACATAGACATAGACTTTGACTATACACCTAGCACATCACACACCAAGAATGCAATGTGAAGACCTACACATTAGTCAAATCAGCCAACTACATTCATCTTTTGTTTTTCCTTTTTGATAGCATGGGAGTTTGAACTATCTCAGCCTGGGGCCAACTAGGACTGTAATCCCATTTGCATTTCTAGTTGTAACTGGCATGACAGGCACATGCCACCCTGCCTAGCTTTTTCTGTTGGGATTGGGTCTCATAAACTTCTGCAAACTTCCTTATCTCAGTTTTATATGTAGAAGAGATGACAGTGATTGGTGGAGCTGGTTATCTGACAAACTGTTTCCATGGGCCAACACTGATTTGTAATCTTCCTGGTCTCTACCTCCTAAGTAGCTAGAATTACATGACTGAGCCCCCAAACCCAAGCTTTCCTATTCAATTTTTTATAGTGAACACTGGGGTTTGACAGTAAACGAAACAGACACAAATCCCTGTCTGCCCTCATGGGCTTATGTTTTTTAATTTAGTATTATGATGATGCTGAGGATGATTTTTTTTTTTTTTGTCGGTCGTGGGGCTTGAACTCTGGGCGCTATCTCTACGCTCTTCAGCTCAAGGGGAGCACTCTACCTCTTGAGCCACAGCGCCACTTCCTGTTTTCTAGTGGTTTATTGGAGATCAGAGTCTCACGGACTTTTCTGCCCGGCTGGCTTTGAACTGTGATCCTCAGATCTCAGCCTTCTGAATAGCTAGGATTACAGGTGTAAGCCACTGGCTCCCGGCTGGATGATATTTTTTAATTGATGATGTTGATGATGACAATGTACTTGTACAAAGGAGTTACAATTTCGTAAGTCAGGTTATGAGTACAATACTTCTTGGTCAGTGTCACTCCTTCCTTCATTCTCCCTCCTTTTCTTCCTGCCCCTCCCTCAAGTCACAGAGTTCATTTTTTACCTAATGTACATTGAATATAATGATTGCATTTGCTCATGATTTATATTTCTTAACTGGGGAGATAGAAAATCAAGATAAATAAAGTACAGTGTCTGGCAGATGGCAATAAGGGACTAAAGAGAAACACGATATAAGACATCTCCTGAGATAGGAAAGCCCAGGAGAGCACTGGGTGATAGATTTAAATGCACCGGTCAAGAAGCCCTCAGGAAGAAGTTGGAAGCTTTCCATCAGAGTAAAGGCCTAAAGCAGGTGAAGAAGTGAGCCATCCAGTTATCTTCAGGAACAGTATTTCAGGCTGAAGGTACAGAGCAGTGAAGGAGCCAGTACCATTAGACAAGGAGACAAGAAGAAACGAAGTCAGAGCAGATTCCCAAGGCCTTCTAGACCATTGATGAATCCAAAAAAAGCCCTCAAAAAGTTTTTAGTCAAGGGGCTGGGAAGATGGCTCAGTGGTAGAGTACTTGCCTTGCATGCCTGAGGCCCTGGGTTCGATTCCTCAGCACCACATAAGCAAAAAGAAAAAAGCCGGAAGTGGCGCTGTGGCTCAAGTGGTAGAGCGCTAGCCTTGAGCTGAAGAGCTGAGGGACAGCGCCCAGGCCCAGAGTTCAGGTCCCACAACCGGACCCAAAAAAAAAAAAAAAAGTTTTTAGTCAAGAGGGTGTAGTGTGACGTTTAGGCTCCATTGCTGAGAATAATAAACTGCAGAGGACAAGAAAGAAAACAGGAAAAACCACTTTCGAGGTTATTTAAGTAGTTTGGAAAAGAGATGCTGGGTGGACCAGGGCGTTGGTGGTGGGAGCATTGCTAAGTGAACAGACTGTGGATAGTTTGAACACTAGCCAGTGGGATTACTTATAAAATAAGTGTGAAATGTGAGAGTCAAAGACTCCTAAATTTTTAGCTAGACAAATGAAAAAATAGAATTGCTATTTCTGGCCTTGGAAAAGCCACAGAAAGAAGCAGGGTTGGGAGAATGTTAAAAACTATTTTGGAGATGTTGAGCCTAAGAAAACTGTCTCAGTGGCCACGTGGAGACTACTGAGTAGCAGTTGGACCTATGAGTATGGAGTCCAGATACACAAATGCTATGTGCAGCACATAGATCACAACACCGTACCCACACTGTGCCCTCTATAACATACATTTACACACCACATGCACTAACTTATTTTTACCTCCACATGAGACATGTGTAACATGACACATTACATATGTGCAGACAACATCCAACTGTCCATCTATGGACCACAATACCACCATCTATATGAATAAGTACAATCAGGAAAAAGCTCCAAATACAAGGTCTCTACTGCTGTCATGACTCATTAGAATTGCCACAAGATACCCTCAGTGCACTTCTGAGAGGTAAAGCATCACTGCTCACATTGGCGGAGCAGGGAAGACATAGTTTGGCCTGGAATGTTGCTTTCCTCCTGTGCCTTCCTGCACTTGGGGTCCTAATTTCCTTGCCCTGCTTGTGTCACACATACACACACTCACACCCACCATGAAGAAGTCTTCATTATTACCCAGGTCACAAGGCCCATCCCTACATAGCTCTGAGGGGCGGATGAGGTATCAGGGCCTTTGGTGCAGGCATGAGGAAATGGGGGAGTCATAGAAGATTTAGAAGAATCTATAATAAAAGGCAAAGTGTGTGTGGTGCTCTTAAGCATCTTATGTGGTACATTGTATGCTTTTTGTAGTCAGTATTTCATCTGCTCCTCTGTCCTGTGAAATAAGAGACTATCATCCCTACTTTACAGGAAAATGAGGTGGAACCTAGCAAACTAGTGGCAGATGCCTGGCCTCTAGAATCCCTGACTCCTTTACTGACCCTGTCCTCTCCACTTCACTACATGGCAGCTGGCAAGAGCCCGTCGCTAATATTCACCAATCGACACGAGGTACGAAGGATAGACCTGGTGAAGCGGGACTACTCACGCCTCATCCCCATGCTCAAGAATGTTGTGGCACTAGATGTGGAAGTTGTCACCAATCGCATCTACTGGTGTGACCTCTCCTATCGCAAGATCTACAGGTGAGTGGCATGTCCCCTGCAGCCAGGCCTGGAGGGGCAGAGTAAGGGATGGTTGATGGAGGAAGGAAGGCCTCTAGGGTTTCTCAGGACAAAGTTGGACCTGGGAAGGGATGCTGGATCACAGTAGCTGTGGAATACAAAGGCTTCACTCTGTGGGTAGGCCTAAGCTGAAAGCACTGTGAGAACAGATTTGAGCCCATATTTCTGAGCTATGTCTGACCCCTGGTGGCCAAGCCAGGAAATGCAAAGACACAGGAAATGTTGAGCCAGGGTAGAAATAGCTGGTCCTTGTGAAAACTTCCAGAGCTCATATATCAGTATGTTGGACCCTGGAGACTCAAAGTTAGCAGATAATGTTCACTACTGATACAATGATGGGAGGTGTGGGTGAATGAAGGGTATGTGGGTTGATGGAAACAAATGACCAACTTCTACTCACTAACAACTCCTTCCCCCAAGCACACAGACATCAAACAGAACTAGAGCAGAGCCTGTTCAACAATTGTGAATGGAAAAGAGAATTTGATGAGGATTTGGGGTTTAGGGCTGAAGGGAGAAGATCTATAATGAACTCCCAGGCTGATGTGAAGAGTCTGAGGTGTCCAGCTTGGGGTTTCTGGGATGAGGGTGCTGCTCTTTGAGATGGGAAAGAAGGCCAGGCATTGCGGGGAGTCTGACGATGAGCAGTCTGGATCTTTAGAGGGTTGTCAGGATTGGAGTCAGAATTCCAGCAGTGAACAGTATGGAAGTAACCACCCAGCAAGAGGGAGGGTGTCAGGGGTAAGGAAACCTGTGACCGATAGCACGTGGGAAGCCAAGTCCAGGGAATCGTGTCTCCCCAGTGTCTGTGTATTACCAGCTCCTCTCGTCATTCTCACCGCATAGTCTCCTTCACACTCTCTTCAGCTCACACCTGCCCCCTCACCATTGTCTCTGCCTTCCTTCCCTTCTCTACCAGTCCATCCCTTCCCCAGGAGCCACAGTGACCTCACATGCTTGTCTGATTGTGTCCTTGGACCCATTCAATTAGCCCCTCTCCCAGGATAAAATCCCAATTCCTTAGCACTCAGAGACTATCAGGATGTGGTTTGTACCTACACTATTTCCAGTCTTACATCCTTCAAACCAGCTCCATCCCAGAACGTGCCTCCCTCTGAGTATTTATACCCACTGGTCCCTTTTGTACATGCTGATCCATTGTTCTCTGGTGAACTTGTTCCTCAGGACTCAACTACAAAGGCTTCTCCCAACTCTTCAGCCTGTAGACTCCATTTTCCTTCTGCCATGTCATCTAATGCTTTCCACAGCTACACAACATTACACCTCTCTGCAAGCTTCTGTCCCGCTACTAAACTGAACTCCACCAGGCTAGATACTGGCTGATTTTTAAGCCTGTATCCCTACCTTGGTGGCCCAGGAAATGTGTTGAGTGGAGATTAACCAATTTTTTCTAAAATCCAAGGCTGTAATCCAGAGATAGCGGAGAGCTAGTGGGGAGAGTTCACAGGCAGCTCCAGATGGGCTCATGGGTAGAGCATGTGCCCATGGCCAGCCCCGCTCTCTCCTAAGCGCCTACATGGACAAGGCCAGTGACCCAGCAGAGCAGGAAGTCCTCATTGACGAGCAGCTGCACTCTCCAGAGGGTCTGGCGGTGGATTGGGTCCACAAGCACATCTACTGGACAGACTCGGGCAATAAGACCATCTCAGTGGCCACAGTGGATGGTGGCCGCCGATGTACTCTCTTCAATCGTGACCTGAGTGAACCCCGAGCCATCGCTGTGGATCCCTTGCGAGGGTGAGTCACCCCCCCAGTGGTACTCTCATTTCCCCAGCCTTGATGCACAGTCCTTATGTGTCTGTTACAAGAGGGTTGTAGAAGACTATAGGATAATCAGACACAGGCCACGAGGAAGAGAGTCCTTGTATTATCGTCATCCTGCTAACTTCTGCCCAAGGCTTCTGTGGGCATTTAGTTGCCAGGTTCTTCCTGGTGCCGAGGATAGACCTGGGTAAGATAGAGTGAATTGATTCTTCCCACAGTTGTTGTATCACAGAATCTGAGTGTGTCAGAGCAGGACAGGGCTCTATAGAGTGTCTGGTAGAAGCTCCAGGGGCAGAGGCCTTTCCTCGCACTACTGTAGGTGGGTGGCAGTGTGTGTCATGGTGCTGCTGGTGTGCTCACAGGCTTGCAGGGACAGGTTGTTCATTACTTTCCATGAAGTCTGTTTCAGTGTGGGACAGCTCTGGCAATTAGACACTAGGGAGGGATTTTCCTCACACACCAAATCTCCTATAACGTCTTCCACTGACCTCAGGAGGTCTGCAGGACAGACAACCAAGGTCACTCCCGCTTTTCCGTCCTCAGCTGCACACTTCCATCTCCACCCCTGTCGCCAAGACTCTGGGCCCCTAGTCATCTGAACTGCTTTCCTCTGCACACACACCTGACTCTGGAGGTTTAGGAATTCGGAACAGAACAGGACCCTCTGCCTCTCTCTTCAGCAGTGTTTTGAAATGACATTTGTGTATTACATTGAGTTTATCAGCATCACCAGCTTCTTCCTCTTGCTTCCTCTTGCTGTTCCCTTACTTGTTAAGCAGGAAGAAAACCTTCTTCAAGGGAGACCAGCTAGCTGAGGCTGCCACATTTTGGGGGGCGGGGGCATGAATGGGAAGCCCGGGGAAGTAACTGACAGATGCCATTTACTTGAACATGTGTCAGGTAGGCACTTAGTAGACACTGAGCCACTTTATTAACCCTCACTTCACCCGATCATTATCGGTTCTTATGTAGACTTGGCGCTGCATTTGTCACACCCTGACCCTCTAATCATAGTTCTTTCCAGCCCTGATCCACTGTGAGTCTGTCAGGGTTCCAATAGGAAGCCCACTACAAACACAAAGCAAGATAACTGGAGGAGAGTCTCCTACAAGAACTATGAAGGAAGGAATAGATAAGGTCTAATACAACTCTTAGGTAGATAACAGTGAGCCCCTGTATGTAGGCCTGAGGGTTTCAGAGGAGAGTATGGAAGATCATCTACATTCTCCACTGTAAATGAGGAGAACACTTACCAGGATCCTCCCTGCACTGACACTATTCTCTGGTTGTATCTCTGATTGTGGATTGCCTACAGATACATGTCTGTGCTTGCATGGTCTAAGCTACCCAAATGTGGTAGGATGGCCAAATTCTAAGGTTTGATCATTCTGAAGGATTTCAGAAGTCTTCCCGTCCTTGCTGAGCACAATCCTCAACTATTCAGGCCACGGAGCCTTTGTGACTCAGACCACTCCAATCATGTCCCTAACAAAAAGTCAAACTGGGTTTTTCTTTCAGGTTCATGTATTGGTCTGACTGGGGGTACCAGGCAAAAATAGAGAAGTCTGGTCTCAATGGCGTGGACCGGCAAACACTGGTGTCAGACAACATTGAATGGCCCAATGGAATTGCCCTGGGTGAGCTCCGCTAGCTTCCTGTGGTGTGTGCCTGATCCCGATGACTTTCAGGGATTGATTCTGTGGGGATTGATTCTGAGTCCTCCTTATGGTGCCAATAACTTGTTTCCTGAAGGTTGCTGCCCTAGGCTGGGTCTAATCTCATTCCTGGACGGTAGACAGGGATGGGGTTACAGAGGGGTGGAGATCTAGGCTATGGTCCATGTTCGTGGCCTGATCCCTCCTCTCCCAATTCCTCCCCAAGATTTGCTGAACCAGCGCTTATACTGGGTAGACTCCAAACTGCACCAGCTGTCTAGCATTGACTTCAGTGGAGGCAACAGAAAGATGCTGATTTTCTCCACGGACTTCCTGAGCCACCCTTTTGGGATAGCTGTGTTTGAGGTAAGTCCTGTGAGGGGAGGCCTGGCCTCACCAGGAAGCTGAAACCTAGAGAAGCCTTGTTTAAATAGAATGCCTCCCTCAGACTTGTGTCCAAATGGGAACGAAGGAATATGGAAGTGAAATGATTTGTTCATACACAAATTGAGAGGCGGTGCACAGAGGCTTTGGAGTGCAATCTGCTGCAGCTCTTCCTGTGCCCTCTGACCAACATCCCTCTCTGAGCATGTCTCATAGTGCATCTCTGCCCACAGATGCCACCTCTCTGTACCCACAGCATCTAGCACTGTATCTCATATGCAGAAGGTGAAACTCAGTAAGGAGAGAAGGGAAGAAGAAACATCTGCTTCCTCAGAACCATTTACTTAAGGAAATAGCCTGAGAGATGCTCTGCAATTCAGCACACTCCTGTTGACCTTTGGTAGATCCTGGGGTCACAAAAATAGACATTACTCCCAGTCCTCAAGAAGCTCCCAAGAAGCCAGATGCTGGTGGTTCACACCTGTGATCCTAGCTCCTTGGGAGACTCAAGTCAGAGGATCACAGTTTGAAGCCAGCCCAAGCAGGAAAGTCCTTGAGACTCTTCTCTCCAGTAAACTACTCAGAAAAGCTAGAAGTGGCATTGTGGCTCAAGTGGTAGAGCACTAGTCTTGAGAAAAAGAGCTTTAGGGACAGCACCCAGACTCTTGAGTGCAAGCACCAGGACTGGCATTAAGAACAATAACAAAAAAGAAGCACCCTGAAAGGTGAGGGATCCAGACTGCTCCCCTGCCCTGACTCTTAACAGCCTTTCTTTTTGTGGAATGAGGAATCAGAACCTATCATGGTCCCACATACTCCATATCATCCCCAAAATGAACTCTGTCACCAAGGGGAGGGAAAGTGAGGTCTGTGGTAGGCACTGGCAATATTTTCTTGGAGCAGCTTCACTCAGCTTAAAATTGTGGGTAAAGTTCTGCTTCTAAGTCCAGTTCCCTGCTTCAAAGTCAGGTGTGTGTGTGTGTTCCCGAGCATACCTGTGGCATGTGTAAAGTGTGTGTATGTATACCTGTATATAGAATAGATCAGTAAAGTGTTCATTCCTATATGTGCTGATAAAAGCAGATAAGCCTTTACTTAGGGACAAACAGGCCTTAATGGAAGTAGATGAACATTTGAGTTTGTGTCTAGATCTGTGCTTAAGGATGCATGGTTGTACCTGTAATTGTGGATTTGCCTACAGATGCACGTGTAGTCTTGTATGGACTAATCCCGTGGACTTGTGTTTATTCCCAGAGTCTGTAAGAGGCCCAGCAGGATATCTCAATAGCTCACACATCCCCTCCAATTTTAGATCTGACCCCAGTGTTGACAATAGCTATTGAGATCTGATCTTGGGTTTCTGCTTGCTCCAGGAAGCTCTTGAGTTAGTGAGTAGGCTTGTGGTCTTCAGGTCAAAGCATGCATCAATTAATCCTCTAAGATAGAAGGGAACCATAAGGGTTTATACAACATATCAGAATGGATAGCTCCGGGAAGATATAGGCAGTTCTTGTCACTGTGATCTGAGGCCAAGCCCTCAGCCTGAGGTCATGAGTTCAGGCTCTAGGCCTCCTATCTGCCACATCTGTGCCCCACAGGACAAGGTATTCTGGACAGATCTGGAGAATGAGGCCATTTTCAGTGCAAATCGGCTTAATGGCCTGGAAATCTCCATCCTGGCTGAGAACCTCAATAACCCACATGACATTGTCATCTTCCATGAGCTGAAGCAGCCAAGAGGTGAGCCTTCCTTGGTCCTAGGTCCCCTGCCTGTGTCCTCTCCTGCCACAGAGAGGCTGTATTCACATTCCTGTCATGACTAGCATCCCCAGGAATAATGACAGAGTGCCTTACAGTGTTTTATATCATTTTGCCTATATAGCTCTTTGTGACACAAGGCAAGGTATGAACAAATACATAGATTTCCTATTTTTGCCAATCCTACAAAGTGTGCGTATTGTTTAACGAAGGTCAGATGTTACAGGTGGTAGAAACAAAACCTAAACTTGGATCACCTGATTCCTTCTGCTGCAGACTCAGTGCTTCTTGTTTGTTCTGTGAACCCATCATAGAAACTAATGGATTCCAGGAATCCTGCTGCCAGCCTGTCTCCTCCTCTGTCATTCAGAAATCCTAATTGCAGTTGAGGTATTGGCTGCCAGAATGAAAGTGGGAAAGCAAAGGGGAAAGGAGGTAACGTCGGGTCCTGATTCTAGATACAGGAATTTAAATGAGACATGATGCGTGACATTCAGGGGATGGAGAGGAAATGAGTTCTGGAATCCAGCATGCCTCAGTTTCATTTCTGTCTTCAAAATTCCTAAAAGTAAAGCTTAGACAAGTTTGTTCTCTGAGCCTAGGGTTGTTTATCTGTCAATCTGAGACATAAGACCCAGCTCTCCGAATTGTAAGGATTAAATGATAGTGAGGCTAAAATACCAGGTGCGGTGCTGGTAGGTGCCCCAAAGCAGGGAGAGCTTTTTGAACAAGCCAAATGGGAAGGCCTCATCCTCAGGAGAGGAGAATACACAGCACATCCTGTAGGTGCCCTAACAGTTTTTCTCTCTCTACCACTAGCTGCAGATGCCTGTGAGCTGAGTGCTCAGCCCAATGGAGGCTGTGAGTACCTGTGCCTTCCTGCTCCTCAGATCTTCAGCCACTCTCCCAAGTACACATGTGCCTGTCCTGACACAATGTGGTTGGGCCCAGACATGAAGAGGTGCTACCGAAGTAAGCGGAGATTCCAGGAAGGGTGGCTCCTGGCAATGCCAGACCCTGCCCTTGGCTTCTGGGATGCTGTGTGTTCCGGGCTTTCCTCCATCTTCATCTTCTACTTGATGCCTTTGGATTTTCTTCTTTTTTCATCTGCTTTCCAGGGGGGAATAAATAAATAACTACACACCCATGTAACATTTTTAATTGATCCTTCAGGATGGTTTCTAGAATCCCTTGAAAAATCTCGTTAAGACCCCTTGATCTTCATGGCTTCATTTATTGTTTATACACAAATGACTATGTTTATCTATTTCTTATATAGAATTTAACACCCTACACCATCTTGAAATATACTAGGACTTACAATAAAAGATAATAACCACACAAGTGTGGTTATTTCCCAATCTTGATGTACGGCCAAGGCCATATATTATTTGAGTGTAAGTCTGTTTTGTCATTTACGATTTCCAGGATCAATTTTTTTCTTTTTTTTTTTTATTGTCAAGGTGATATACAGAGGGGTTTCAGTTACATAAGTCAGGTAATGAGTGCATTTCTTGTCAACCTTGTCCAGGATCAATTATTTAAAGTGAAATAATTTAAATCTAATAATGGAATACTATCAGGGTAAAGCACTTCTAGATTTATTTGCTTACCCCTCCCTCTAGTCTATCCCATGATCTCAGTCACACTGAATTCTATAGCATTGTTTCAATGACTGATTCATCTTGATTGGACAAGGTAAAGTGCTTAGCATTCAGCTGAAAGCAAGATTGGGGGCCATTTAGGGGGATAAGAGAACGCTTCACAGTGGTGGCATCTGAGCTAAGCCCTGAGAATGAGTCCCTACATGTAATTCATTGAGGCAGTAATTTAAGCGCTAAAGCAATAAACTTCTCTGTCCAAGTGACATTCAGTCTTTCTTCTCTAGCACCTCAATCTACCTCAACAACGACGACGACGACGACGACGACGTCAGCCCCTACTACAACAAGGGCAGTACCTGTCACCACAGGAGCCCCTGGGACAAGCCATGGCCCCACCTCCCAGAACCACAGCACCACGACACCAAGCCCAGCAGCTGCTGGGCCCAGCTCAGTTAGTGGTCCAAGGGCTCCCAGCATCAGCCTGTCAACACCAAGCCCAGCAACCAGCAACCACTCCCAGCACTGTAAGGAAATGAGCTCTGCACGCTTGCATGGTGTGGGAAGATGGCAGTACTATGGGGTCTGGGATGGAAGTGTGGAGAAGAGGGTCTTGAGGGTAGCTACAGTCCCTCTTTGAGCCTCAGTTTCTTCTACAAAGGACAACCCTTGATTCACAAGATTGTCGAGGGAGGCAATGGGAATGAAAGTGCTTACACACTCAGTCTCTACTGCCTGGGTAAATGTCTATTTTTGAGTAAATGACATGTGCATGAAGCGGGTGTCCCTCAGATGGGGAAAGTTCTGGTCTCAGTTTCCAGCAGCCTCCACAAGCCGCCCAGATGATCACATTCATAATTATGGTGTGCTCCTGCCTGTTTTCAAACGCTGGGATAAAAATAATTAAGTCCATCACTTACTAAATCATTGGGAGCAGTAATTGTCACTGCCAGAACTGTTCTATCTCATTAACCAGCAAATACTTTTTTAATTGAGTTTCCTGTCATGGGGAGTTCATTTAAAAGGATAAACTATCTTCTGTGGGTTTTTTTTTTTTTTCTTTACCCGGATGGTGCAGAAACCAGCTTGATGACTCCTTTCTGAGTCTCTTTGCCAGCAGAAGCTGGATTCTCAGAGTTGAGCACTTACCCAGAAGTTTGCAGGAGAAGCTGGAACAAAGCCTCTTCCCACAGGCCTTATCAAACTGTTACTAACCCTGCTTGCTCCCACCCCCAAGACCTAGGGATTAAACCCAGGACCTTGAACAAGCTAAGCAAATACTCTACCACTTGAACTATACCCCTCCCCCAAGCCCTTTTGCTTTTATGTTTGAGATAGTCTTGCTACCTTTGCCCAAGTTGACTTCAAACTTGAGATCTTCTTGCCTCTGCCTCTGGAATCGCTTAGATAATAAGCATGCACCACCATACCCTGCTAAGCTGTAGATTTAATGCCACCCAGAGTGAGAGGCCAGCAGCATTGGAGCAAATGTGGATAATAGCTCCTCTTCACACCTCAGAAGGCTGTCATGAGGACCCAAGAGGAAAAGGCTTTTTTAAACTGCACAGTGCTCTGCAAATTTAGATTAGAGGAAGGTGGCAGGAAGAGTGAGAAAGGTGGCACAGTATTCTTTTTTTAAATGCAATGCAAGCCAGGAGCCAGTGGCTCATGCCTGTAAACCTATTTAGGAGGCTGAGATCTGAGGATCATAGTTTGAAGCCAGCACAGGCAAACAAATCTGAGACTCTTCTCTCCAGTTAACCAGCAAAAATCCAGAAGTAGAGGTATGACAAGTGGTAGAATGCCAACCTTAAGCAGGCCGGGGGAGTGGGGGGGGGGGAGCTAAAGGACAGCACCCAGGCCCCTGAGTTCAAGCCCCAAGACTGGCACCAAAAAAAAAAAAATAGCCAGGCATTGGTGACTCACTCGGGAGGCTGAGATCTGAGGATTGCAGTCTAAAGCCAGCCTGGGCAGGAAGTCCATGAGAGTCTTATCTCCAATAAACTGCTCAGAAAAACCCAGAAGTAGCACTGTGGCTCAAGTGGTAGAGCACTAGCCTTGAGCAAAAGAAGCTTAGAGACAGAGCCCAGGTCCAGAGTTTAAGCCCCAGGCCCAGAAAACACACACACAGACACACACACACACACAGTACATTTTCTAAGGACTTTTCAGTTTAGAATACACTTTTACATACTTTTTTTTTTTTTGGTCGTTTGTGGGCCTGGGCCCACAATCTGGGCCTGGGCGCTGTCCCTCAGCCATTCAGCTCAAGGCAAGCATTCTATCACTTGAGCCATAGCACCACTTCTGGTTTTCTGGTGGTTAATTGGAGATAAGAGTCTCCAGCCTTTCCTGCCAGGCTGGCTTTAAACCACAATCCTCAGATCTCAGCCTCCTAAGTAGCTAGGATTACAGACATGAGCCACCAAGCTCAGCTGAGATACCTTTTTATATTTAGGCCTTGCTATTCCTCCTATCTCATTCACCATCCCCTTTAAATTTGGCAAGACTGTGCCAGACACTATGCTAATAAACATTTTATACAAACTATCTCATTTAATCTTTACGTATCATTAAATAGGTAGTAACATAATCTCAATTTTTAAGACAAAGAATACAACAAGACATTTTATATTTTATAGTGAGTAATACAGATGGTATTTGAACCTCAGAAGTCTGACCTGGTAGCCTGTGATCTTCATTCCTCTATACGATGTACTTTACAAAAATAAGTTGATAATTCAGACAAATGGCCAGACCACCCAAAATAACAGAAACAATACAGGCAGTATAGACACTGACTGAGAAAGCAACTGATCCTGTCTGTCAGCAACATGAAGACCTAATGCTCACTGGCCATGCATAGCCCCCAGCTTCCTACCACCATCATGCTGTGGAAGTGTTGTTGAGTCCTGGGTTCAAGTTTTAACTAAGCACTTATACAATTTCATTTCCCCTTCTGTGAAATGGAAATAATCTCTGTCCTGGTTGCCTTACAGGAGTATTGGTAGAATTTGGGAAGACTGAATTATTAAGCATTTAGCTATGGCCATCATTTTCATTTCTTTTGAACAGTACTAGAGCTTGAACCTGTGCCTGAGATCATGCTAGGCAAGCTCTCTATGACTTGAGCCACACCCCCAGCCCAAGGACCATTAGAGTGTGGACAAGAAGTAGTTGGGTAGTTTTACCTGCCTGAGGCCTATAAGGTCTTGAACTCACAGTGATGGAGCATTAATCTGTGAATGTTTGTGCTTTGCAGATGGGAATGAAGATGACAAGATGGGCTCAACAGTCACTGCTGCTGTCATTGGGATCATCGTGCCCATAGGTGAATACAGCCACATCATCGGGAGCACAGAGTCCCTGCCCAAGATTAGAGAAAGACAGAGAACCCAACACACTGACCTACCACTTCCTGACACTAGTTGAATTTGGTTTCTTGAGCTGGCACACAAGGTTCTGGACCTGGCCCCAAGTGACCATCCAGCTGCATGTGCGCACACACACACACACACACACACACACACACACTCTCTCTCTCTCTCTCTCTCTCTCTCTCTCTCTCTCTCTCTCTCTCTCTCTCTCTCTCTCTCTCCCTGGGGACATGGCTGGTATCTTCCTTGCTCGCCACTCTCCCCAGCTCCCAGCATTGACTAACACATTTTAGGAAATTGAATCTTGTGTAACTGATAAGGAGAGCTATTTACTATGCTTCAAAATACAGTATGTATTTTCTTTCTGTTTGGTTTCCAGCAAACATTTATTAACCAGCTGTGGTATATCAAACGCTTTGATAAGGGGAGGGGAGGTGACTAAAGTATAAGTCAAGGTTTAGTCTTACTGAAGAAACCCCTATAACAGAGATAAGTTTGTTATGACAAGGTAAAACCTAAGAGTAAACTGTGCATTCTGAATTTAGTGGAAATGCTGAGGAAGCACTTAGACTGAAGAAGGAAGAGGGCAGAGAAGTTTGCCCGGCATCATTTGGTGCTTGAGCTAAGCTAGGCAAGTAAAGAGAATCAAGAGCAGTCCAGGCTGAGGAGTCAGTATGAACAAAGCCAAGACTGAGAAATGGCATGGGAGGTGATGGGGAGGTTGAAGCAGGTGTTCAGAACCATGGGGTCCCAGCCCCCATGTTCAGCATGGCCTCTTGGCACTTCCTGTCTGTCATCCCAGCCTCATCTCTTGGCAATGTTTTTAAACTGGGATTGTTAGCTCCCTTACTTCCCTATGGCCTTAAGATAAAGGCAATGATTGTCCTTGTCTTGGGAATCCTCAGTATGGTGGTGGTAGCATTTGAATTGGCCTTGATTGGCTTCCCCAGAAAAGATGGTGGTGAAACTGTCATTCCACACTTGGCTTTGAGTGGAGTCAAAGACAGATCAACCCTGTTCTGCCATCCTATGCCCTATAAGAGGCTTGTGGGCACTGTTTTTACTGATATAGCTTACCGAGCTAATCAGCATTTTTGATTTTGGGCAATCCCTCAGGAGCAGGGGAGAGGGTGCAGGCAGGATGAGTATTATTCCCCTGGAAGTAGAATATCTTTTCATATGCTTATTGGCCATTTATTACATTCCATCCTTTATGAATTGCCTATTCACAGTCTCCTTTTTTATTGTTATCTTATTTTGTAGAAATATTTATGCCAAATGAATATTAAAACCTTTATGTGATAAATATTTCCTTCTGGTCTGACACTTGAGTTTTCAATTTGTTCATGGTGTCTTTTGCCATGCATAAATTTAAATCTTTTAAGTAGCAAATCTGTTCATCTTTTGTTACATGAATTCTGGGTTTAGCTTTTTGTTTAGGAAGGCTTGGCTCACCCTGAATTATTAAACTATCTCCTGATATGGTCTGAGTCATTTTTAGTAATTAGGTATTTCCATATGGAATTTATTTTTGAGAATGGTGAGAGGTAAATATTTAACTGCTTCTTCTACAGACCTGTGTATGGTATGTAGAACATCATTGGATCGTTCTGTTCATTCCTTTTCACTTGAATTATCACCCTTACAGATACTATGCTGTTTTTTCCACCAATGTGTCTATTCCTATAAACTAGTAGCTCACATTTTCTCAGCTGTTTTTATTTGATTTCTCTTCTAGATAAACGCTAGAATAATTGTGTGAATTCTATCAAAATGATGATGGAATCTTTCTACATTTTCATCGATAATTCTTTGGATGTGGAAAAAATATACATTTTTACCAATCATAATTTTTTATCCAGGAACATAGCATTTTTCTATTACAATCTTCTTTACATCTTTTCATGGTTTATGGAGTGCATAAGACTTTGTACATTTCTTTGTAGCTCATCCCAGGTATTTTATAGTTTTTTATTGGGCTATTACATCATTACATTTTCTAGTATGTTACTGTTGACAAAAAGAAAACTATAGATTTTTATGTTGATTTTTTTTTTTTGAGTCAAGGAAGGAGACAAGGTCTCATAGCCAAAGCTGACTGGGGACTGACTATATAAGGCCAAGTTGGCCTTAACTCACAATTCTCCTGTCTCTGCCTCTCAGGTGCTGGAATTATAGTTGTGTGCCACCATACCCAGCTTTATGTTGATTCTTTTTTTGTGGTTATGGGGCTTTAACTCTGGGCCTGGGTGCTGTCCCTCAGCTCTTCAGCTCAAGACAAGTGCTCTATCACTTGAGCCACAGCACCACTTCTGGTTTTCTGGTGGTTAATTACAGATAAGAGTCTCGTGGACTTTCCTGCCCGGGCTGGCTTTGAAACATGATCCTCAGATATCTCAGCCTCCTGAGTAGCTAGGATTACAGACTCGACCCACTGACTCCCATCTATGTTTATTCTTTTTTTTTTGGTCGGTCATGGGGCTTGAACTCTGGCCCTGGGCACTGTCCCTCAGCTCTTCAGCTCAAGGCTAGTACACTACCACTTGAGCCACAGCACCACTTTCGGCTTTTTCAGCTTATGTGTTGCTGAGAAATCGAACCCAGGGCCTCATGCATGCAAGGCAAGCACTCTACCACTGAGCCACCTTCCCAGCCCCGCTATGTTGATTCTTAATGAGCTAAAATTATTTCTAATAGTTTTTCTTACCTGATTCTCTTAATATCTTCTAAACATATAAACATGTTAATTCTAACAGCCTTGTTCCTTCCTTTCTCATATGTAGGCCTTTCAATTTCCAGTTATTTTAAACCTAGTCTTACTGCATATAGCTCAATCTCCAGAATAATAAGTAAAAACAGTCATGAGAAGCATCCTTCCTTATTTAATTATTTAATTATTGTCATCTTTCTCAAATGGGAACCCTTTTACAGAATTGTAGAAAGTGATCATCCAGCCTCCACTGCAAGGCTCAGAGTGATTGCTTGTTAGTTACAAAGCTACTTGCCTCATTGCTCCCTAGCTCTGTTGAAAAGTCTTTTTTCACTCATTAATATAGTCCCTTATTCTAACCCAAAGCTCATGTTGTCCTTCCATACCCCTTTCTGAAGATAATTCTCTTTGGATAAAGTCCCAGCTTTAGAATAAAAAAATACTTCCCACTCCAACATGGGAAAATAATGTTTGTTTTTTTTTAAGAGGCCCACAGAAGCAGCCACCTTAGGGTAAAGGTATAGAGAAGGAATTCACGCATTCGTTCAGCATGTATCACCGAGCACCATCTCTGTGCTAGGTACTCATTACGGAGATAAACAAGCACAGACCCTGCCCTCAAAGGTTCAGTCTGATTGGGAATACAGATATGAAAAGTACTGTGGCCTGGGAGCATACATGAGGGAACAGCAGACCCTGCTTAGAACAGTGCAGGACGACTTCACTCAATCTCAAAGGATGAGTAGTTAATTGAGGAAAGAGAAGATGAGAGGAGACCTTCCAAGCAGCAGAAAGGGAACGTGCAGATCCAGTGCCTGAGGAGCAAGGGGCAGCCACGTTAGAGAGGTGGCAAGCTCTGCAATGAGGTGTGAGCAATGGACCAGAGCCCTCTGCATGTCCAGAGTAACGTGTCCCTTCTTCCAGCGGTAATAGCCCTGCTGTGCATGAGTGGCTACCTGATTTGGAGAAACTGGAAGCGGAAGAACACCAAGAGCATGAATTTTGACAACCCAGTGTACAGGAAAACAACAGAAGAGGAAGATGAAGATGAGCTTCATATAGGGAGGACAACTCAAATTGGCCATGTCTATCCGGCAGTAAGTATTCCTTACTGGGAGAATTCTTCCCTTTCTCTTCCTCCCTTCCTCCCTTCCACCCTTCCACCCTTCCTCCCTTCCTCCCTCCCTTCCTTCCTTCCTTCCTTGCTTCTTTGCTTGCTTGCTTGCTTCCTTCCTTCCTTCCTCCCTCCCTCCCACCCTTCCTCCCTTTACCCTCCCTTCACCCTTGCCAAGATCCTATCAGGGATCCTACTGGGCCCTAGGGACCACACAGAGGCTGAGGCAAGTGGTTAGAGTAGCAGGATAGCAGGACTACCTTGTACGTGGAGTTTCTCCCTAGCAGTAAAGAATCCAAATGTCTCTCTACTGAATGATTTTCAGAACCTTTGGCCTGGGAGGGTACTTAGGACTATTTAATTTGAATGTATTCATTTCCACAAATACTGTACAAGTTATGTGCCATTAGATATCAAGTGTTCAGAGGTAATTAAGGAATGCACTTGCTCCCCCCAAAAAAGCTGGTAGGAGAGCTCAAGATACTCACCACACACTTGTACCACTGTGTGCTAAATGCCATGGTGGAAGCTCAGGATTTTCTTCTTCTAGGAAGCCTTTGCACTTGCGTGGTTCTCCCACAGTCCCCTGGGCCTCTCCTTCCCAGCCCCTGTCCCACCACAGTGCACTTATTACTTAGTAGTCTCCCCACTAGATCGTGAGGTCCTTGAAAGCAAAATCTGATGTGATTAGCCTGTTTTCCTGGAGCATAGCACAGGATAGCCAGTTTCTAAGACATATTTGTTGAATAAATAGTATTCTGTGGAAACAAGGGAGCTATTAATTCTGCCTGGGTAATTGGACAAGGAATGCCTCACAAAGAAAGCAACAAGTAGAAAGATTAACAGCAGTTTTCCAGGTAGAGAAGGAGGAAAATGGCATTCCAGACAGAAGCATGCACAAAGGCTTAGAGGCACAAGGAGCATGGCCTGTTGGGGGAGCAAGGACTATGAAGTAGCTGAACAGGTGTCATTGTTATGTAGCAGAGTCAGGGGGCTGAGTGTGACCTCAGGGGTCATCCAGTCCATCCCCCTGTCAGGCAATCAGCAGCTTTGATCGCCCACTGTGGGCAGAGCCCTGTGTTGGGGAGACCAGAGAACTGGAAGACCCAGCCCCTGCCCTCAAGGAGCTTTTTGTCTTGCCTGGGGAACCAAGGTCACAGCTGCACCAGCTCCCGAAGAACCCTCTTTCCGAGCTGCCTGTCGTCAAGTGCAAGGTAGGGCAGTGCCACTCTGAGCCTGATGGGCTGGTGAGTGAGGCCTAAACCTAGTCAGGTGTGGCCAATCCGAGAAGGCTGACTTGTTTTTGAAGACTGTAAACTGTAAGCTGGGTGTTGGGGCAGATAAACACGGGTTAGTTGCAGACCAAGGAAATGGCCTGTGGAAGAAAGATCAAGTATGGGGTAAACAGAACTGCTGAAGTGAATGGCTCATAAAGGGAAGACACGGGAGTTGAGCAGGGGGGGGAGGGTCAGCAGATGGCCTTTGAGATTCCTTAACTTTAGCAAGTCCGGGCACACAGTTGCTTGAACATTTTTTACATCTTAGAGAAGACACAGTGTAAGAAGCATTGAGCTCGGAGTAAGGTGACTTGTCAGTTCCACCAGTCAGCACCTGTCATGCTCACTTGTCTCTACTTTTATTTGTAAAATGAGAATGACCCCCATTCCATCTGCCTTCTGAGCTTAGAAAGTTCAAATGAGAAAGCACATGCAAGAGAACACTTTGTAAATTACAAAGCAATCTGCACCTGTAAAGTGTTACTGGTTCCAGAGAAGGAAATGACTGAGGGAGTTGTTCCTGAAGAATCGAAGGCCTGAGAAGTAAGCCTCCAACAGCTGCAGAATGAAAGTCATAGAATGAGGACACTGGTTTCATGAGCACCTACTATGTGTGAGATACTGTTCTCGGTGTTCTGCCAAGAAGTGCCAGAACCAGGATTCAAACTTCCATCTGCAGGTGTAGAGAGGCTCATATCCCTTCCACTATGTTATGGACTAAATAACTAAATATTCTCCACCACCTGTCCTCTCCTCTGTCCCTTTCTCAGGTAGCTCTGCTACCACTGTTTGGCTCTGTCTTTGGCCTGTCGATCTGTCTTGGAGGAGAGTGGGAGGGTGGCTTGCTGAGAATAAGACAGTCCCCAGTACTGTGCTGGTGGAACATGACAATGGATTCACGAAAACCTACAGTTAATCCCAAAGATGACTTGAAAAGCAGTGGAATTCCTTTATTTTTTTTTTTATCATTTGTAGACTGAATACCCAGAGATGGAAGATACTTAGTATAAGCTGGTCAGGTAGCCTAGAACACTCCAGACCCCGTGTGTATTAGGTATCACATTAACCACTTGGCATGCATTATTTCATTTGATTTCCTATCAGCCCTATGAGATAGGTTCTTGTCCCATTTGACAGATGATAAAACTAAGACTCAGGGAAGTGAAGTGATGAGCCCAAATTCATAGAGCTTTGAAAATGACAATTCAACTAGCGTCTGTCCAAAGGATGAGATCTAGGAAATGAAAGGGCAGAAAACAAATTATATCAGCATCAGTTAAGGAAAATCTAGATGTATACTGGGAGAAGAAAACGAGATAAAGGAAAGGGAATTCAAGGGCTTTGCTGTTTAGGAGTCCCCTTGAGTCAAAGATAGAATCAAGGAACATGAGAAGGATATAAAGAAACATCAGTATAGGAAAAAAATTAAATCCACTCTCCACAAGAGACTAGACTGGCTTGGGGGTTAGTGGGCTCCCCATCAAATGGGCAGCCGTTTTTGGAAGAAGGAAAATGAGCATCCAATGACTGGAAAGTTGGAATGGAGTGAGAGAGGAGCTGAATTCAGTTGACTTGCATTGCCTTCTGATTATATTTAATTGTTTGGGAAGAGTGCAGCATTGCATCCACCTAATTGATATCCTGGAGACAGGATAACCTAGGATTTAACATGTGACAGAGCTAGCCTATTGAAGTACACCCAATCTGAAATCCTATATGGGAGAAAAGTTCAGATCTCTGCTACCCTCCTTTACAAGGGATAGAACAGAATGATGAAAAAAGCTACAGGTCTGGATTTACACAGACCTGGGTTCAAACTTTGGTTCTGCTGCTTGCTGTGTGATCCAAAGCAAACATCACATAAGCCCATCGAACCTTATTTTCTCATCTGTAAAATCAGTATGATAAATCTTATCATCTGGTATAGTTTGAAGATTATCGAGCTAGTATTTGTAAAGCAATAGTATGTCTAGTACTTTGTTGACACCCAAAAAGAGTACCTCCTGTGGATCTAATGATGATTTCTTTGATCTATCTATCTCCCCAGCGAGTGGCATTAAGTCTGGAAGATGATGGACTGCCCTGAGGATGGGACCACCCGCTTCGTGCCTCATGGAATTCAGTCTCATGCACTGCTCTCTCTGGATGGTGTATGACTGGATGGATGGCTTCCTATGTATGAGTCTGTGTGTGTGTGTGTGTGTGTGTGTGTGTGTGTGTGTGTGTGTGTGTGTGAGAGAGAGAGAGAGAGAGAGAGAGTGTAACTTTTTTAAATTTATGTTGCGGAAAGGTAACCACAAAGTTATGATGAACTGCAAACATCCAAAGGATGTGAGAGTTTTTATATGTATAATGTTTTATACACTTTTTTAACTGGTTGCACTACCCATGAGGAATTCATGGAATGGCTACTGCTGAGCGACTAACATGATGTACATAACCAAACGGGGGCCGATGGTACAGTACCTTACTCATTTAAATACTATATTTACAGAGGATGTTTGATTTGGGGGGCACTTTTTTAGGTTGGGAGGTTTGGGGTTTTTTGTAAATAAAATGTTTATGCTTTGTGGCTATCCACCAACATAAGTATAAAAAGAAAGACCACTTCAACTCCCTCCCCCATTTAGATTATTTATTAACATATTTCAAGAATAAGATTAGTTCTATAAATAATTTAGAGAAGTGAGAGTATTTATTTTTGGTATGACTGGTCCAACACACAGACTCTGTGTATGTGTTCATGTGTGTATGTATATGAGAGAGACAAATCTGTAGAGGAGAGGCACACCTATGGCTATTCAGATATATAAAGAGAAATTTATTTTAAAACCATCCACAAGAGGGGCATCTAATTTTCAAAGAAGCCTCTGGGTGAAAAAAAAAATGGCTTAGAAAACAGATACCATGATATGTGCAAATGTGTGGTAGAAGAGGCAGATCTTTTTACCTCTGGCTATTCTTGAGACCACCCAGAAGCCAGCGAAAGCCTCTCAGCTTACCTGTGGTTGCCATGACTTCCACCTGGACTTCCTTGTCTGTGGTCAGGGTACAGATACACAGAGCCAGAAACTCTCATGAGTTCAAGTCAACACATGTAAACCTCAGCAAGTCTTTGTTTTGAAGTTCACTCTTTGAGTAGTTATCTTCAGCTTCCTTTTAGGACTCAGGGGTTGAAGTAGGCTAAAGGCTACCATCCTTACTTCAGAGCTAAGTAGAGGCATTTCCAGAACAGCCCAAGTGTATTACAGGGACTGGCTTAGGCACTTAACCTCTAAGACATGTGCAGGTGATACGGATGGTGGAATAGATTTTTATCATACCTCTTTCTCCCTTCCTGCACACTCTGCCATTCCTTTAGGAAACATTTTAAAGTAATAACTAGATTTCTTACCATCATGTGTTCATATAGATATGGCTAAGTTAGAAAAGTGGCCAAACCTAAAGTCCTGTTTGAGGGGAAATGGCATACGCAATATTAGAGCATTTTGGATATGTGTGTTCACGCAGGGATTTGGTTTACTGCTTTGTAAATAAAAAGAAAAACTCTAGGTATATGCATAGATTTCTTTTTTCATTATGGACACCTTCTATGCTTTTTCTGGGCCTTGTGGGGGGAGGGGAAACTGTGGAGAGAAGTACTATTTTGAGGAGACCATCATGGGAAGCAATTGTACAGTCCCAGAAGGAATTCAGTCCCTAGTGGCTTTCTTGTCCCAAGTGTGTTTTTAAACTCTGCTATTCTGCCGCTTTACTCCCTCTAGAGACTGGAGTCAAGTACAACATGCAGGTGTTTGGCTTCCATAGAAGCAAAGGACATATAACTAACCTTAAAATAGTGAAGCTTGACACCCTTAGGCAAATGTCTATTTCCATCTTCCTGCAAGCTTGGCTGTTAGCACCAGCTTGATGACACCCTTTGAATTTTCCAGGTAGTCCACTGGTGTTCCCTTGTCCTGGTCCTAGGACCTGTGTCACTCATGGTCTCCTAACCTCTAAGAAAACTGTGCTGCAGAGCCTGGGCATGCATGTGTTGGTGCTGCTTCAAGACAGACACTGAGAGGGGAAATGCAGTTGTCCTAGATAACCCATAAAACAGAATTTTAAGAATGGGGTAGTCAGCGATTATGGAGCTTACTTCCTAATATTCTTTAAAGGATGAAAAGTAAGTTTATGTTGGACTGAAGAAAAATTATGAAAGTTAAAAAGTGAAATCTATATAACTCTGCCTACAAAGATATTAAATTTCCTGGAGAATTAGATAAAACTGGCTAATGTATAGTTTCTAAGTCTTCAATCAGATCCTGGCCTTCGCAGAAAAAATTAGTGAGATCAGGAATGAAAAACAGTAAGATGATGGCTTCGGAAATTCCAGAGTGATGATGAAACCCACAACTTTACTCAGAGGCAGCTAGATTTCCTGAAAATACTAGAAAAGCAGTATGAAAGCAGCAGCCATGGGAGAAACCTACAAGAAACAAATTGAGGACTGTGCTCTGTACAGTAAGTCAGAGAAAATCTAAGGATTCAGATCTACCTTCCTCCTATACTGGGGGCCACTTTGAGCCTTATTTTGATATACTTACATTTCTGCTGCCTTTTGTTCCCTGTGTATATGTATCCACAACCAATAACAGATTATAGAATTATTATAGAATTATATGAGCTGGAAGGGAGCTTAGAGAATGCCAAGAAGGCAGAAAGGTTATCAGCCACCCCAATCCTTTTTCCTTCTGTAATCCTGAGGCAACTTTGGGCTGCCTGAACAGGGTATCAAACTGGTTTCTTTTTATCCTGTGGCTCTTTCCAGTGAATTTACCAGGATACTGGCAGAAAAGGCCTTTCCAGGAACAAGGAAAACAAAAACTTTATTCTTGAGAGCATGGTTATAAAATAAAACAAACTGAAGTAACCTGTAATGTCATCTGGCAAAGGGAATGAGATGGGATAGAAATTGATGGCAGTAAGCACTGCCAATCCCTCCACTTATCTCTATGTGATAGGAGTTTGTTCATCCCCAAAGCTTCTACTAGATGCCAGCTATGTGCCGGGCCACCAAAAACATGAAGAAGATCAAATGTTTCCTGTCATTTCAAAGCTCAGAGAAAGATACAAGTGGATAGAAAAAAGGAATAGATTCCATTTAGAGTACTGCAGGGGTACAGAGGAGATGAGGAATAGTGTCATCACAGAAATGACCTTAAGAAGGAATTCCAGGTTGCTTCTGGCAGGGGAGACAAATGTGAATCAATGGGACTGTAAGGAGCCACCTGTAGTTCATAACTGGAATAAAAGACTTAAGCAGACTTAGCAAGAAATGAGGCTGGATGGAATGATAGGTTCAACATAAGCACTTTATAAAATACTTTCTGATTTAATTAAGCAAACGTTTCTTGCGCATTCTTGACAGCACTTGGCATTCATTATTTGGCTTTAAGTTTTCCTAAGGCCACATAAGGGTGTTGACTTTCCCATACTTGGGTTAAAGATTTTTTTTTTTTTGATAGAGTTAATGAAAACTAAGGATAAGAGGATTTTCACAAAAGCATGCAATGTTATCAAAGCCTCTTTAGATTTTCTCAAGTGTGATAAAGAAACCTGGAAATTTAAAAAGACATGGAGGCTGGAGAGGGGATCCTAGTCATAGGACACACAGACACTAGTGGGAATGGAAGAGAGCCACCCACACCCCACAGGAATGTGATCACCCCTAAACTCCAGCCATACATTTATCAGAATATCAATGAGTTAGTCTCAAGTAATTTCCTTTCCCATAAATGCATGAAGATAAGAGTATCAGAGTCTTCTTATACTATATTTTTAGGGTACTGGAAAATTTGAAGAATTTAGAACATTAAAACAAAAAAATCACAGCTTCAAAATTTTAGTTAATATGAAGAAAACCAGGAAGTTCTTCAGGCTATGCACCACGTGCACGGTCAAGAATCTGCAGAAGCTGCATTTGCAAACAATTTGTGCTATAAAACAGTAATTTTTTTAAAATCCTGTATAAGTATATATAAGACAAGGTTTTAATACTTTTTTTACAAAAATGTCAGAAAAAACTGTACAAACCATGTTCTTTTAAAAAATAGCATTTTGCTCTTTATAAGCTACTGTTAATTTGGGGCTAAAGTACTGGTTTGCAAACTTCATCTCTGTGTATCCAAATGGAAATTCTGTTTGTCTCTTCCCACCCACAGTTACCATTTTGATGCAATAGCCAAGCATGTTAGAATGTTGGGCCACATAAACTCTTTCTGGTCTTTTTGTTCTTGTCATTTAGCTTCTGTACTTGGTGCCTCTGCCCTCTGGCTTCTCATCCAGAGGCAGAAGGGACTAAAAGGGTGTGTGCTGTGTCTCATTAGCTGTGCTGACATCATCTTGGTGAACTGAAAACCAAATGTGAACATTTGTAAAATCAGTACACTTTCTAGAGAAAGATTAAACTCATTTTTTAAAATCTGTAAATTTTGTTTTGTTGTGATGCTTTAATGAGGGGGTGGGAGTGAACTATCACTAATGGGGTCTCTAATGTATACCAAATGTTTCACATAAATCATCTCAGTCTTGGCAACAATCCTGTGAAATAAGTGCTTTCAGTATTTTCTATTCCCATTTTATAAATGAAAAAAATGGGAAAAGTAGCTGCCCAGTGCCATACAGTTTTTTGTTGGTGGTAGTGGTAGGATCCATTACGAGGTCCCCCTCAGGACAATGCGCAGGCAGGCACAGGAGAAAGATTATTATAAGGTTTATTAGAGGAGCCATATATCCCCCTGCAGAGGGAACAACATGGCATCTGCCCCTATCCAGGTGTCAGGTAGGTCTGGACAGAGAGAGGGACTGGCCAGCTATCCGAGAGGGAACTCTGGGGCTGTAAGGAGCTCAAGTCTGGGTGGAACTGAGGATGGAGAGTGGGGATAATGCTATGGAAGGTTTTTGTTGTTGTTGTTGTTTTTGGCGGGGGGGGGGGGGGGGGGAGGGAGGGAAGTTGTTGCTGCTTTTAATTTCTTTGAGAGAAGGCCTTGCTATATAGCCTAGACTGTCCTCAAACTCATCGTCCTGCACCAGTCTCCTGAGTGCTGGGATTACAGGTATACACCACCATACCCAATAGTGTATACTGTACACGTATTTTGAGTAGTCATTGCACGTGTATTGTTCTCTGCTTGGATTTCTTTTCCTGCCTCTGTCTGGCTCATATTTGTCCTTGAATACTCCATTTAGGTAATGCCTCTACCCCAGCCT